ACCTCTGTCTTCAAAGGACTTGTGGCATAAATGGCAGGAGCGGTTGATTAAAAATGTGCACAATAGCTTCATTATGACATGTGGAGAGATGTCTGCTGTTATTTTTAATCTGATAGCTTTTAAATATGTGCATCCAGCAGAGACCCAAATGGCCTTTGAAAAGGGAACCATTTGTGGGATAAGATTTTTTAGACTCCACTTCGTTCCTTCTAACGAGCCACAAGAGTCAGTTCAAGCTGGAAAATGAACTATAACCCTTTTTTAAGGCTTTGTCTCCTCTAAAGCTGCAGGGTTTTGGTGTGTGAACACATATAGAGTGAAAGAAGATGGAGGGTTTAGGTTATCAGGTGAAGGAAAGAAAAGGTACTGTATTCTGTTTTTTTAAAATTAAAAAAAAGTCTTTTTTCAAATTGTTTGGTATGATCCAAGCACTAGACAAGTTGAACAGTTAAATTGCCCATCCCGGCTGCTGGAGCCTGCCTGCCACTGAGCTGTGCCGTAGTGACAGAAGCGTGACCAGGAGGTCCAGAAGCAGCTGGGGGGGTAATTTCCCATCTCTGAGTCTCCCATGTGCTGGTTAGGTGCAGCCGGCGTGGGAGGCAGCTGGCGAGGAGGACCCGGCAGCTGGAAAATCTGCCATGACTGAGCTCTGTAAAAGGCTGAACTTTCATTTTGACTTTAAACTAAATAATTTGCTGCTGGGTTAGATTGGTGGAATTCACCAGCATGGGTGTGTTGCGACTTAATGTCTTGCGTTCATTTGAACCCAAGTGGAAAGTGACTGTTTGACTATGGCAGCCAGGGATATTGGGTTTTGACTTGCTGACTTTCTGCTAAACAGTCTACTTTCTTTGCCCACAAGCACATAAGCTGATTTATCTGCCTTCCCTTGTGCCTCTTAATCTGCTGTCATTTAAAATCTGTGGTTCTTTCCTCACCAGATTTAGCTTTCTGTCAGCAAACTGGCGGGCAGCGCCTCTTTGCTGGAGCTGGTGGAGCTGCCAGGGGATGAGGCGGCTCCTGACCAGCCATAGCATCCGTGGCCCGGTGGGCTTCAAAGGGTGCTGAAAAAACCCGCTGGCCACACCTGACAGCTCAGAGCAGGCGTGTATCGTGAGCTTTCTCGTGTGTGGTCGGACCCCAGACGCGTGCCGGCCAGGGGGAGAAGAGCCCAAGAGCTGAGCAGGACCATGACTCAACAGCTGGAGCACGTTCAAGAACAACGGAGCAAGAGCCTCATTAATAGGGGGATAGAATTAGCCGTGAATCGAATGACGTATTAAAACTTCCAGTCAGAAATTAAGAAAAATCTATAGTAAAGTAATTTTGAAGGGTTTGGGTTTTTTTCCAATTGTATGTAGCAGCAGAGTATCTGGGCAGATGAAATATGAGGGGACGGAAAGTCAGCGGTTCCTTTGAGACAGAAACACTGTGATACAACAGTATTCTCCCCCCCTCCCCCCCCTCTAGTTTAAATCATTCCATTGAGTTTATTACCCTGTCTTTTCCCATTAATCTTAAAAATATTTGGCCACTGCATAAAAGTACAGGGTACCCTCCTCCTGCACACCAGAAAGGAGAAAGAGAAGTTGAGAAAGCTGGTGCTGAGACTCCAGTGAAACACTGCCAGTTATTCATCAAAAAGAGGTGAGGGTAATCCAATAGAACAATTTCCAGCAGGCAGACTACCAAGATCAGGAGCAACCTCAATGCTGCATTAAGGGCTTTGGTTACTGTAGACAGGCAGGAAGGAGCAGAGGGATAGGAGAAGGGGTTTGAGCTGCTCTCTGGCTCATGTTTTCTGCTTCTCTCTGTACATTATCAAATTATTTGATCTGGAAAGGTATGCTGTGCTGTTTGAACTTTTTAAGTGGCCAGACATAGAACATGTTAGATATTTAAATTAGGATATAGTGTAAAGAAAGTGACTTTCTCAAAGCAGACCAGTGCTACGGTAACCTGTCTAGGAAGCATTGCTTAGTTGTACTTTTTGCAGGAGAGTTTCAGCCTTCATCTGTAAAAGCCTTTGAGCTAGAACACCTTCTATTTAAGTGCAACTTCTCTTTTACACCACTTCATCCAGATTCATTAAAATGCAAATTCTGTTTATGACGCTTGAATGATGTATCTGCTAGAAAACCGCAAAGCCCATCATGCTGAATGATGTCTGTTGGCATTCACTGAATATAATCACAGTAGCTTCACTGCTTGATTCATGAACTGGGGAGAGGGACGAGGGCTGCAGTTTGGTGGAGATGCTGTACTGGAGTCACTGACTCACCCTCTGCTCTGTTCAGTCACATTGCTTCACCTTTGTGCCTGTTTCCCATCTGCAGAGTAAGGTTAAGACCTTACTGTTTGAGGATGAGAAAGATACATTTGTAATGTGCTTGGAACAAGAAAAGCGCTATTTTAAGTGCTGAGTGTAAGAGAATATTGGTTTGTGATTCATTTGTTTAACTACAAATGCATCAGAAACTTAGGAGGAGATGAGATCTGGAAAATGTTGTGGATGGAAAGACATAGTAGTGGAAAGCTGCATTAATTTGTGATCTTCAAAGCAGGATTTAGCAGGGCTGTTCAGACAATAACGTTTATTATTTTTGCAAATGTCAGATGGTTTACTTCATTAGTACTATTTTAAGAAGTCCCTGTTCTGCTCCAGCCACTTGCTCCTGTCCTTGCGCTGTAGATCCGTGTCCCCTTGAGCGTGGTGTGCAAATGATTCAGTGTTTGATGTGACAGAAGGGTAAAGAGAGCGAAGGGCAATGGTTAGGCTGGTGGTGGTGGTGGTGAAGGGGATCTGCTGTCAGCAGAAGAGATATTTTCTCTGCTGATAGGACATCTCCTTTTGGAGATTCCCTCGTGGAAGTTCCATGCACAAACATTGGTTCAGCCATTCGTGTGCTTGCCCCATAAAGGCAGGTAGAGATGTCTGGTGGGAAAAAGAAAAGGAAATAGTCTTCTGAAATCTTTATCCCTTCCAAGTTTCTTGTCCCTACAAGGCAAAATTATCACCATAAGCATCCAAGGGTTTTATAGTTATTGAACATTTTCTTACTCAGACTAGTGGTTTGGATCCCACTGCAGCCCATGGAGGAGCCAGACACAATTTATTGCTGCTACCATTATTTCCCTGTAGATTAATTATTGTAATTGTTTGCCAGTTCTTGAAAAATAAATTGAGAGTCTCGACTTCTTTTGGCAAGTGTGCATACACATGCATGTATAGAAATTCTCATAGTGTATGAAATACAAATTATTTTGGGGCTAGGAGTGCAAGAGCATTATCACAGCAGCCAGGAACTGTTTTCAGTCGTGACCTTCAGCACCCTGTGGAGCCGGAGAGGTTTTAAAGGTTTGGAGATCCCCTTATGGATGTAAAGCCATGACGTAAATTGTTGCTAAGTTAGGGTGCCAGCTGCTGTAAGTGATTCTTCAGAGGCCAACTGATATGTCTGGATTTATCTGCAGTGACCAAGGTTGCTAGTGCCTCCCACCTCAGTGCATTAAACAGGACTTTATGATACAAAGAAAACTGAAAAACACGTACTGGTGTAAATGGAGAACAGGTCTGCAGCCAGGCTAGGTTAGAAGCAGTGCTGTTGCACCTTCTGTTAATAGGATGCCTGCAAAATTTTGATCTAGAGGACATAATTAATGCGAGTTTTGGCTCTGGTGAAAGTGTTAATAGCAGGGTCTTAACACACTGCCAGGAAACCAAGTTTAAAGGGAGACAGCCCTTATGGGGAGGCAAGCACAGGTTCCTTCCCTTGAGTTGTGGTTAGGTAATTTCTGAGTATGAGGAGCCGTGTTTGCACTGCAGCGTGATATTTAGCTTCTGGGTGCTAGATTTGACTCAGCAGCCTGTTCTGTTTGCAGTCAGAATGCTAACAAGGTGGTGCAGTGCTGCATGCATGGGACTCTGTCAGTTTGACTCATTACAGCCAGTGCAGTCAATTCCCAAATAATCTAAAAGAAAAACAAAACCTACAGCAAAACTGCTTACTTTTCTTGATAATGTAGTTAAAGACAAGCTCGGTATCTTCTGTTGAATTATCTGGGTCACTAGAGAGCAATTCAGACCTTCATTTATTAAAGTGCTCTTTGCTCAAAATACATTCTAAATTGCTCTCTACAAGGCAGCTTAGTTTTATTTAGCTTTGTGGCTAAACAGATAAAAATATTTTAACTGTAAGTCTGCATATGGCATGATTGCAAACCTTTGAGACTTCTGCTTTTAGATATTCAAAACACTATGAAAATATGATTTTTAAAAGGGTTGAGCAGTTCTGTAATTAAGCTCCTTCAAGGATGCTCTGGTATTGAAGCAGTTCCTCTGTTCTCTGGTTTGTCTGGTACATTTGAAGTGAAATCCATTGCAAAGGACAAGGGGTGCCATTTTTGTTCAGCTTATCCATGGAGCCACTGCTACCAAGTGGGTAGAGATCAGCAGCCTAGGAAGGGCATTATGCTGGACTGTGTTTTCCTTTCATGAAGCAGCCACCAGCCCTGGGTACCAGGCAGACCCTGCCTGCACACCCACGGTGGCTACTGACCAAGGCACGGGCAGGAGCTCCGCTCTGCCAGAGGTCTGTGAACAAGTCACTTCATCCCCTTGACTCAGCTGCTCATCTGCAAAAGAGGGACGATGATTACCTCCTTTGTAAAGTACTTTGGGATCTGCTGGAGATAAAAGCATTTAAAAGAGGTATTTTTCCTTTTCTCTCCAAGGCACAGAGCAGGAGCAATCCCGCTGTTCCTGCCTTTGCACTGCAGCGTTGCTGCCTCCGAGGGGAAGCAGGAAATGATGGTGATATTGTGGTTGGAAACATAATAGAGAGCCACAATTATTTATTTTTTGAATCCTGTTCCACTCAATAAATTTACATGGTTGCAGTGTTTTTCATAGGCCAGTCTTCCAGATAGTGCTGTAACACAACATCCCAGGCTTCAACAAATTTACACTAATCCAGTAACGTATTTCTGTGTCTTTCTAGATTCTGAGCGTTCCCATCTCTCCTCGTTCACTATGAAGTTGAAGGGCAAGTTTCATTCACCAAAAATAAAGAGAACCCCTTCAAAGAAAGGAAAGCAAGCTGACCTGACAGTGAAAACGCCAGAGAAGTCAGCGAATAAAGTAAGCAGATGAAGGACGTGCTCTGTTAGTCTTGCTGGTTTCTTGTGTGCTGGTACTCAGCTTACCAAAATTTGGTGTCTGACTTTGTCCTCTGCAGAGTTCTGCAGGTTTTTCAGGGATCCTCGGAGTTACTTTATGTTTAGTTATAAACTGTGCTGTGTAGTATAACATAAGAGCAACCAAGGCATCTACTTCCCTTTGGAGAGCCTGATGACACCTCCTTCCATAAGTGTTTAAGTCATTATGGGATGTAGTGTAAGACCTGACACATCCTCCCCACATGCACACCCTATGGTTATGCTTACAACTTCCAAATAACTGCCTGGCTTTGGGGTGTGATCCTTTTAATAACCCCAAAACCCAGGCGAGCAAATCCTTGAAGTTGATCCAAAGATGTGCTCAATCTCTTGACGACATCAGCAGGGAGAGTCAAACAGATGTGTTCAAGCAGCTGCTGATGGCAGCACACAACACACCGTTCCTCAGCCCCAACGTGCCTCAAGTCCTCGAAGAGCTGAGGTCATGCTCCTTCCCAGCACAAGCCTATCAAAATGTTATCTCCTCTGCTGTTGTGACCTGATTATGTAGACTGGAGACTATCTCTCTCACAATGCTGTTGCAGTCGGTTTTCAAGTATAAATCTAAGCCAAAAGTTAAGACAGTTGAGGTTATTTATGATAATACAAAATCTTTCCCAGATGTTGTTAAAAGTCTCATCCACTGTTCAGCACCAGGCATGCAAACTTTTTTAATTATCTCTGCTGAGGATTGTTGCAGTGTTATTGAGAACAGTCAGCAAGATACAGTTATCTTACGCCATGTGATGTGTTTAACGCCCAGAGAAGTTGCTGCAGGGCTTTCTAGCCCTCTTCTACACCATCAGGTGGAAGATGATGAGGCTTTTATTTCCCAGGCTGTATTTTTTCCCCAGGAAGCTATGGATATGCTTTCTAAGGAGCCGAGCACCTTGCGTTGCTGACTGCTATTAAAAAACAAAATTAAAAAAATCTGAGAGTACTCCTTGAAGGCTTTTATTCCAACAGTGTTTCAGGATAGTATATGGAGAAAATTTAGAGGCCTTCCTTTAAATTTATGTGTCACCATGAATTAAATAAGCGAGAAAATGAAGAGCCCTTTTCAAAATACTATTCTATAGCAAATATATATTATCATGCTAATAATAGGCGAAGTGTTTGCTTTTCTTTGTTTCCTCTAAAAAACAATGCAAGAGGATTTACTGATAAGGCATGCTGAACGTGTAAAACCTTTTTTATGTACAGATTGTGATTATTTTTTTTTTTTACTGGAAAACAAACACTTGCAATAATTTTTATTACCATACATGATTATTTAAGCTGTATATATTTTTATACTGTGAAATATTGTTGATTTCAGGTTCATTCTTTATTTTAATAGCTGTTGTTCAGCTAATCAGTTATTTGGATGTAGTCAGCTCACTAGCTTCGTGTGGAGGGAGTGGGGAAGAACATATGCCTGGATTGTCACCAGGTTCTCTCACTGGAATATAGACATCAGTTGACAAACGGGAGATTTTCTGTCAGAAGACACACTTGGTAAACCAAATGTCATCCTTTACACCCTCTTAAATACTTAGGATGCTATTTTTATACTCTTGAAGTAGATAATCACTGTAGAGCAGAAATAGCAATACCAAAAATTAATGTAAAATTGCTACGTGTAACCTGAAGGTTATGCTCAACCCATGCAGACATCTTCTCCTCTTCCACTTTATAGTATTGGGGGAGTTTTTTTCAGAGCCTCCTTTTGTCCCCCGGCCCTGTCTTTGATTCTTATCATAAGGCATATTGTAGGAACAGTAGTGTCCTTCAACACTATTGCAAAGTTACAATAGGTTTTTCACTGCCAAAATGCAGGGGGAAAAGGGACTGTTCCAGCTTTTGCAATCCCATGTATTCTGTGCAGCTCACTGTAACCCTTTCTGGGTCAGCTGTATCTCATACATGATGCATTTGTAATGATTATTTAAGGGAAAACTTCAAAAATCATGCAAAAATAAGTATGTGTCAGGCAGGCAGGGGAGTGGAGAGGAGATGATGTTTTGCCTGAGTATTAAGTTTATTGCATTTAGTGCCCAGAAGGGAAATGGGTGAATCGAGTGGTCGTGGTGCTTTAGGAGCTCCCACAATTGCCAACTCGCACTCTCAATTGAGACATAAATGAGAGATTAATTCAGGTCATCTCTGCCAACCCAGTGGTGTGCCACTGCATGCTTACTTTGGCTTTAGGGACACACTGAAATGTTTGCTGGAAAAACTTAGCATCATTGTCTGGTGAGATGCAGACACTGGTATGTATTAATATCCATCCATCTTATCAGGTTATTACTGCTTTCTCTGGATTTATTGCTGTTGTTCTCAGGCCTCAGTGAGCAAAGCACTTGAACGTGAGAAACTCCAGCCTCGTAGTAACAACTGACATTTATCTGAGCTCTGTAGCAGAAGTATAGGTTTGCTTTGTGTGTGTTTGTGTGCCCATGTATACACACATACGTACGATACCCTTGGACCTCAGAAGGGGATTCATAAAAAGTGCTCTTAGGGAATGTCACCCAAAGAGCTAGCAGGGAAGTTGCAAAAAAAAAAGGATTGTGTCCCAAATAGTGTCCAGTGGCTGGATTTGCATGCCTTGATGTGCTCAATAGAAGGATTTGTGTTTCCACTTGTCATTCTCAGCCCTGAACTCTGAGTCAAGCCTATCCCTCCTATGTGCCAGGAGAGTGTTTAAGCTATTAAATTGCAAGCCTTCCTACAGGAAACAGTTGTTGAATGAAATACATAAAAAGCCATCAGAGCAGGAACTGCAATCCACATTTTTTCACTTCTGTTTGAGAGCTCTGACCACTGGGCCATGGTCATATTCACTCAGGGAATATACAGGCTCTCATCTCTGAAATGTGTGATCATTTCATATGAAGTGTGAAACCTTCATGGGAGGGTCTGAGCCTCTCCGTACCCTGGAATAAACTGCAGCGGTGAAGGCACATGCCTGAAAAATGGGAAATGTCATTTTTGACATCAGCGAGTTGCCAGGATGCTCCCCAGCAAGGGAGTTTCAGGGTGGCTGTAAGCTCTAGAGCAGAATTTGAGGTGCCTGGCAAGCAGTATTGTCAAAAGTGGAAGCAGCAGTGGAGTTTGGGCACTTCCCAGATGAGATGGAAAATGACAGGGTGGTTTGCAGATCTTGGATTGGGTCTTAGACTTCTGAAGTTGGAGCTAGATAGAACTTGGGACTCTAATCCTTTTATGCAACTCACCCCAAATTGCTAACCAGCGCTGCCTATAAATTGTTATTCCTAAAACCTTTTGGGCTGCTGGCCTGATTTTGCAGAAAAGCAGTAGTTTAACGGCTGACAAGAGTATGGGGAGCACACAATGCCCATAGGTCATTAATTCTTGAAGCTGAATTTACTGAGGAGATAATGGATGAAACCTGACTCTGCTAAGCTCTCTGCTCCTTTTCTAGCAGTGTTCAGTAGTTAATTTAAATCTCACTTAGGAACTACTTGTGGCATTAACAGTCCTCCAGGCATACTTTGGTAAACCTTTTAAAAATATCCCTGTCCAGAATGCCATTAAGATATCATGTATCACTTCTGAATTTCCTCTTCTAGTGTTGGTGGTGGCACGGAAGTTGGTGACCACAACTCGGCTTTATTCCAATGAATTGTTCCCTTCTGCAACATTCATCCACCAATGCCAAAACTTAGCTTTCACAGTCTGTCCCTATGGAAAGCGTGTGAGTTGCCTTGTTCCAGCAGCATCACAAAATTATTTAAATTGGAGACTGATCAGAAAGGAGCTTTTTGTTTGTGAATGTAGAGACAAGACTGTAGCCCACTTTCATACAAGTAGACGTATTGGAGTCAGCAGAATTGCTCAGAATAGTAAGGGCAAACACTACATATGTTGTTGGAACTTATCAGGGATGGGTACAAGAATGGAGGCGTCTTGTTTGGATTGTTCTGGAGTTTGGAAGTTTCTCTGATTGTGGTTTGTTTTTCTTTTTTCCTTTGGCTGATCCACTGCATTTACTTTTCATTGAAAAGGCCTTTCAGTAATGAGATGTGCTTAAGTAAAGGGATTTTGATTGCAGAAGAGGTGCAACTCTATTTAAAACCAGTAGTTGTTGCTTCCTTTCTTGTGTTACCATTACTGTCTGCGCTTGGTATATTTTTTTCTTTCACCTTCCCAGTTGTGTGGGTTTCAAAGCAGTGCCCTGCACGTCATCAGTAGTGTTAATCTTGGCCTAAAACTGATCAAGATCAGTCTTCAGTTTGGAGTGCATGTAATTCAGAAAGTTAAAGTGTGGGTGCAATTTTGCACTGACTGTTCCTTTGAAAGAGTAGTAATTCAATTTAAAAGTGTTTGTGGAAGAAGGGGTTTTCTCCAGTTCTCACAAAACGTACCTCATTCCGTGTTGCTGTACTTCAGGTAAGTTAAAGTAACCTTGCCCTTAAAAATTCTGAGTTTTTAACATATCTTTCCTTTTTTCCATCTCTTTAGAATGTATCATGGCTAGAGGAGAAGGAGAAGGAGGTTGTCAGTGCATTGCGCTACTTTAAGACTATTGTGGACAAAATGGCAATTGATAAGAAAGTGTTAGAGATGCTGCCAGGCTCAGCAAGTAAAGTGCTGGAAGCCATCCTACCCTTGGTGCAAACCGATCCCCGTATCCAGCAAAGGTAAATTCCTTTTTGGGTTTTGAGACTATGCCAGACCAGCAGATTCCCAGCTTCTTTCCATCTTGTGTCTGAAGAATGGCATCACACAGGAGGCAGGAAATGCTGCAGTGACTAATAAAGTGACTGTTATTTTTATTAATTATGTGATAGTTTTCAAACATAATTTAAAAGCAGATTCCCTGATGTGAAGAAGCCTGTGCTGTAAAAGGATAAGCAAATCAGGATGGTTTCAGAGAGGAGGAAAGGCTGATTTTTTAGCATAAACTTGGAAATTCGTCATTTACTAGTGGAAGATTCTCTGCAGATGCTATACTGTTTCTGCAGTCATGATGGTATCCTAAAAGCTAACAATTCCAATAGCTTTTACCTGAAAAAGAGTTTATCTTCAGAGTAATTCCTTTTTGTGTTCAGTTTATCCACCCTGATATTGGAGAAGTCTGAGCCTGCACTCCTAATGGCTTTTTTTTTATTTTACTGGATCAGATACAGAACAGAAGTAAACAGATGTACTTCAGTAGATTAACCAGTCCAAGTTCGTTCCTGTGCACTCAACAGATTATTTGTTTTATGTTTTAACAGATTATATGTATTATGTTTTAACCAGTTAGGCAGTGGGTTTGAAGCCAGAAAAGAAGTAGAAATTTGCCAAAGCAAAACTCAGAATGGATTATACGAATTTGTGGAGTTCTCAAGCCCTGGAGATATAGCTGGTGTTCATCCCATAGATGCTGGAGCACTGGATCTACACAAACCAAGCAAACATTGATGAATAATACAGAACGAGCAAAATTAGGACAGACAGAGAAAAGCACAAAATTAGGCAGAGAAATGCAAGTGTTCAGTTCCTGAAATCCTGCCAAGTTTTATTCTTATTTGTTTTCCCATCAGGTACTCAAATTTTTTGTTTTGGGATGCTTATTTCAATTCTGGTGCAAGAAGGGTTTATACTGTGGTCAAGGCAGCAGTAAGGTGCCAGATATTTTGCAAATGAGATGCTTAGCTGTGTTTGGCCCTAATGCATAGGCCAGGGTTATGTCTGAATGAAGGAGGCAGTGGGTATCAGAGCTGTGGCTGGGACAGGAGAGATCCAATTTAGGTTGTATCTGTAGAACTTCAGAGAGCAATAACTGTTAGAATGGGAACAATCATCAGGCTTCGGGATACAGACACAAAAGTTTCTTCAGTTGCTATCAGGTTTCCCACAGCCATTAAATTCCTGACAAGCACCTGCTTTCACTTAATAAAAGAAAGAATGAACTTTCCCCTTACACCAGGAGAACATGTAAAACGTCAGCAAATATTTTTAGGACAGAACATGTCATCTTTATAGTTGCTTGCTTTGATTTGTGTATCCACTGGGTGTTCGCTGGGTGATCTTTCATTCCAATAATATATTTGGAAATATCAACTAAGTGGTCTTCAGCAACAGCAGTATTTCAGACAGTTCTATTCTTCAAATTCCTTATACCCTCTCTCTTAGAGGTGAACTAATGCAACCTTGACAGTTGGATATCCTTATTTAGGATGTAGAAGCAGAGTTTTCTTAGTCTGTAGTCAATGGAATCGTCCACATAGAAGTCTTTCTGGAAGTGCTATGTATTACAGCACAGATTCCACATGTATATTCTGCCTTGTTTAGCCTCACATTATAAAAGCGGATCTGGCATTCTCAAAAAGCCACGTTCGTTCATGCCTACCTGTGCACTTTATTTCTTTTTGAGTAGTGGCAGGACCCAAAGGGGTGATTTTGATAGCAAATCTCCCTCAAGAAAAGTGAGCAAGACTTGTGTCAGAGTGGAAGAAAGCCCTACAATTATTGTTGGACTTCTTTTTGCTTTAGGGGAAGCATTTGCATCAAGGAAAAAAGTAATTAAATCTCGCACAAAATGGGCTTTCAATTACTGCCTCCTTAGAAGGAAGCAGACTGAAGATTAATGGCAGAGAAATCAAAGCCCTAGAAAGAGATGGGGGAGGGCCCTGTTTAAGAAATATCTCCTACCAAGCTAATTTCATTTGAAATTGGAACAAATGGCAAGCAGCATGCTTTAAAAAAAAATAATCAGCTAAACAAAAAAGTACTTGCTGTTGTTTGTATCCCCCTGATTGTAACTTGACAATAGTTCTTTCCCCAGTTCTGCAAACTTCATTCACCTAAAGAATCTCATTGAAGCTTGTGGGCTTGATTGTCTTCTAACGGGTAAAGAAATGGCTGGAGTTAAGCCAGTGTAAAATGGGTACCAGAGAAATGGGAAGATTTGGAACACTTGTATCAGTAATGATTGCAAGATTACACCTTCTCTTATCTGCTTATGCTTTTGATGCAGTTTAAATTGATTTTTTACAAAGAATTGTTGAAGCATTGCCATCAGCACTACTATTAACACACCTTGTTTAGTAATGAAGTGTTTTCAGAATGGCCAGGAAAATGCCTGTGAGCACTGTTGTTACAGTTAACTTTTATTTAGATTTGTCATCCTTCCAAAATTCTTTTTTTTTTTTCCCCCTTCAGAACAATAGCTTCAATTCTGTTTCTCATTAAAAACAAAACAAAGCAACACCCTTCCTCTTCCAAACCTGAAATTCATTCAGTTCTATTTCTGTAAAGAAGGAGGTTTTAATTACATGTTTTCAGGCATTATAAACAGTGAGGAAATGATTTGTAAAGGAATGAACACAGTCAGCTCTCAATTATCCAAGACATTTTTGGGGAGAGTTAATAAGGAAGAAGGAAATCATAGATAACACTGAAATAATATAACTTAGACATAACTACAGGACTTAAATATTTACCTTTGAAGTTAAGGCATAGGATGGAGCTGTAAATTAAAATGGAAAGCATGTTCTTCTTAGCATAGCTGTGTTAACCTGCAGCCCAGATAATTCATTCTGTTAACCAAGAATGAACTGTTGATTGCACTGTCATCCCATTTGGTGCTGGGAAACGGGAGAGCAACTGCAGCAGAGGAGAAACCCAGGCCTTTTCAACTGCTAAACACAAATTCTGCATGTCAGAGAGAAAAGGAGAACAATCACATTTTTAACAGCGTGAAATGCACTTTAAATCAAGCACTCTCTTGCCATTTTATAGTATCTTCATATTTTTTTTTTTTTTTCCCCCCTCAACTATTTCCTCCCCTGTTGTCCAGCTCTGCCATCTCGTCCTGCTATAGCCGTGTGTACCAGAGTCTGGCCAATCTGATTCGCTGGTCTGATCAAGTGATGCTGGAAGGTGTGAATTCAGAAGACAAGGAGATGGTGACAACAGTGAAGGGTGTCATAAAAGCTGTTCTGGATGGAGTCAAGGTACATGAGACAAAGATTGTAAATTATATATATAATAATGTATTTTAGAAAAGATCCAGTTGAAAGAGATTTTAAAGTTCAGGTAAAATGTAAAGGTCCTATCCTTGCCTTCAGTAAACCACCTCTTAAATCAGCTGCTTTATAAGTGGAAGGATCCTGCTTGGGGTGCTGGTTAAGGACTGGCATAAATGGTTGGGCTATTAGTGTGCACTTCTGAAATGCTCACCCTGGCATTTGGGTGAATTGGAAGAAGCAATAAATCTTTACTGAGCATTGTATTAAATTTTCAGCAAGTCATTCCCAGTCTCCCAGTCTCCCATGCAGATTAGAACACAAGACTTTGCCTATTTTCTGTCTAGGCCAAGTAGAATGGAAATGCTTCTTGTCAGTGCCCACAGAGAATTAAAGACTCCAGCTCCATCTTTTAACATAAATTTCAAGGGATTCGTCAGTGATACATCACTGCTTTCAGCAGTTGGATTAGGGTGTGGAACAGGTGATGAGCTAAGCTCAGTTTTCTGGAGATTAATTTTACATAACTAATGGGAGCATTTAACAGAAACCTTTGTATCCTTTGTGAGACCTGCTTATAGCATTCCTTCCCTGCCCCACCCTGGGGAAAGCTGTTGGCTTTCCTTCTACCTCCTGGTAAGCTTTTGGTACCCATTATTTCTGTTTCCCAGGCTTGTCTCTGGGCTGATGGCCACAGAGGCTGTTCATTCAGCTGTCCTAGTACCGCAGTTAAAAGATTGCTTGACCTGGGCTCAGGGCACTAACAGAGAGACTGTCATATCTCCTGGGAATCTTATTCTGCAAACTGTAGAGAAAGTTAAGCCTCGTTCAACAGCAGGGCTGAATCTGAAGGGGAATATTTAGATCAAGTACAGAAGGAAAGTTGGGGTAATGTTTTAAGAACTGCAACAGGTGTTTCACCTGGATTAATGAATGTATCAGGAACAGACCTCTTTCACTGTACTTAAACTCTGCTTAGTTTTTATTTACTGGAACTGAATGCAAAACTGAAGTGGATATCCCAAGCTTTGACTATCATGTTTTCAGGAGTCTTGGTGTGGTGTTTGCATGCTCTGAATATCTCTTTAATGTTACTCAGACACAAATACTGAAATCTACTATTACTTATTGAGCCTTTTAAATAAATATCTTTGAAACAAAACATTCCCATCACCTAAAGAAGACAGATTTTCCAGGATTATTTTGCACAATATGCCCTTTAACTTTAAGCTCCAGATTTGAAAAGTAAAGCTGATCTTAAATTTGCACAGCAGGATAGAGAAAAAGAGCTTAGCCTGAAGTCTCAGCTGCTGTTAGTGTTAGAATTTAGCAGCAGTTTGCAGTATGTGAAAAACTGCGCTGTGGTATCTGAACTGTAATACCCCAGCAAATAGCGAGACAGTTCGCTCTGTTATCACTTAATGAATCTGCACAATCCCATGGAGAGCGGGGTTATGACCAGATCCAGGATAGAGTTGTGTGGTCTCGTTGCATGAGACTTGGACGCTCGTTGCCCTTTCACTTCAAGCAATATTTAAAGCCCTGTTACCTGTTGCCTTCCAGCCACAGTAGTGCCTGTGCCATGGGTGGGAGGGCTCGGCTGCCCGCTCTGCCCGTGCCACGAGCCAGCCTAGGCTGGAAGTGATGCAGGCGTGTCCATAGAGTGCTAAGCCTGAACTGTTAAGCCCTGCTGAGTGGCATGGCTATATCAGTCTCTACTTTGTTGTTAGATTAGAAGTTATTTTGGCCTTCCAGTTGGAGCTGGCTTATGTCTGGTCAGCTTGGAGCATGGTCAGAGCAGATGTGTGGCTGTCTGGGTGGATGTGCATGTGTCTGCCCATCAACAGGTCAGCATTTGGAAGCGGCATGCACTCATCTCCTACTGCATAGTGAGGAACAAGGTTTATTTTAGAAGGGCCAAGCCAGCCTTCAGATCTGGAAGCAGAACTGAGAAGCAGGACACTTCTCTGCTGTGGAGAGCCTTTTTTGTTTTTCTGGCAGATCACACAAGATCCACTTCCACATTTCAGTGCTTACTTCCCCCTTTATTTTCAGAATTGAGCGTAAAGGAGTCGCTTGTTCACTGGTGTCGCTTGCTGTTTTGATCTCAGGTTTTAGTGCCTTGCTAGGCATGTATAAAAAGAGAAGAAAATTCCTTCTTTTGATTACGTAACTTCTTAAAAATCCATCTGATTTTGGAATTTCCAGCTTGCTGAAGTAGCATAAGTTTGTAGAGGGGCTTTAATTATCTCTAATTACTGCTTCAGGAATCTTTTTACTTGCTGATAAGGAATAGCATAATGTGCATCTGGCTCAGTTGTGTGCTGATTACTTCTGTGTGTACACTAAAGATCTTGGCTTGATCTTCAAACACTAGTTCTCATTTTGGAGTTAGTACAGAGGAGGAAAAAGTCAGAGTCCAGGGAATGTGGTGGTATTTCTCAAAGTTTAGAGGAAAAAGGGATTCTCTCAAGTACTGGCAATCATACATTGTCTTGGTGTCTCAGGTGGGAGGGTTTGAGGTTTTTTTCCCCATCCACAATGGTTTGAATCATTCTAAAGATGAATGAAAAGCTAAATTTGATTGGTTTTCTCCCCTGTTGTAACCTACACTCCTGTATGGTGTTCATTATGACTCGTAAAATAGGAAAACTGAGCTCTTTAGCCCCAGGTGTCAGGGACTCCTCAGCTCTGCTGCGGCACAGCTGCCACCACTGCGGTCTGCAGCGCTGGCCTTGGTTTGGTTTAAGGTGTTAAACATGGTGAAGAAAGGTGAGGAAAAGGAGATGTTACATTTTCCCTTCCATAGCCCTTTCTGTGAGATGTTTAAGGAGTATTTTGGCTTTTGGTTTGAGTGCCCATATATTTTATTTCCCTTACTGTGCTCTTACACGTTGTATGGAGTCACTGTTCTTGCTGGCAAGCACCCGATAGCCCCACAGGGTCGGACGCTGAGTCTGTTAAAGTGAATGACTCTCCAGAAACATTTTCAGTGGTGGAAGTTTGTGCAGAGGGCAGGAAGGTGGCAATCTGTTGTGTCGTCACTCACTCCTGACGGTGACTTGAAGTGTGGTGCCAGCTGCAGCCAGAAGAGTCAAATGGTGTCACTGTGTAATTTCAAAATTGTCCAATTTACAGAAAAGCCTCATTCGGAGTTTGTAGGCTACTAGGTCCTATGGTTGTTTTTCCTAGTGATGCTCTGTAGACTTTACAGGGGAATTTCTAAAGTCTAAAAGAAATAGCTCATTCTTAATTAAAGATTGTTCATCCTGAAAGAGAAGATGAAACAGAGGAAAGTACATTCTAAAAAAATAGTTTCTGGTGGAGCTGATAGATTGTCAAAAGCCCTGTTGGTCTTTTGACCTTTGTTGCAGAGTATTTCCCCTCTGGGGGACACGGCCCTCTTTGGAGGTGGGACCTGGCCAGGCTGGTCTGCGGTGGTCACCTTGGTGCTGTGCTTTTTCTCATCAGGGCACTTCTCAGAACACAGTGCTCCTCACCAGCACTCTTGTCTGTCTGTTACAGACAGGAACATCTTCACAGCATTAGCCCACATGGACATCTGTATGTGGTCTGTTTGTGCTCTTTTCCTTCCCCACGTGTGGGATTTTCCAGGACAGCTTCTGGAAAGCTGAGTGTTTTGTCATGGTTTTGGTTGACATGGTGTATGTTATTTTTGAGCACAAGCTCATCAAGAACAGTAGAACATCAAAATCAAAATCAGCTGTGGTGGACACTTGGACTGTGTTTGCCATCCTTTGCACATCCAGTGCAGTATTTTATTCCTCTTGTGTATGTGTTGATCCATGGAAGTTCAGCTTTAGATAGAGCCTTATATAAAAATACAAGAACTAGAATATTTCCCTTCCGTGGAAGGATGATGATGACAACATCCCAGTTGCAGTTACTGCATTGAGAGAACAGTGACAGTTGTTTCCAAGCTCAACAGACATGGACATAAAGATGATACTGGAATGATGACACCAATTCAAGCTGCTTTAAAAAAAAAAAATCAAAAATTTATCCCATATGGTTTCCTTTGCATAATATGCTGGGAAGCAAATACTGTCAGGAAGCACAGCCAGTTTTCCAGCCTGCCTGTAAGAGGGCATGTATTTATATCTGAGAGCAGTAGATCTATTTGTTGGCCTCAGACATGAATAAAACGTTCTCTCCCATCTATCTGGCATGAGTGATTGTTGTTTTGACTGCTGGCAGACTTGTAGTTCAGGATTATCATGCCCTTATCTCTTTATCCAGAACCTTATCTGCCTATAACAGATACACTACAGTAGTTTCTTGAATGATTAAGACTTCTATTGCTAACATGTTAAAAGATGACTTCAGGGGAAGCAGGCCTTTTAATAAAGGAGTTCGCTATTTAATTTGTTGTTGGGGATCTTACAGAAAACTTGCTTTTTGAAACAAATACATATTTATAAATTTTTTTTTAAAAATCATTTTTTTACTAGCTAGGTGAAGTACTTCACTGTGTAAGACTTTTCTGTACTTATGTTTATGTATGTAAAGTCAATTTGCTATTATCTAGGGTGTTATGGGGACTGGAACACGTTTGTGACAATAGAGGAAAGAGGAAGCACAGCAAAAAGACACATACATGAGTTTGTGCAGAATCCCCATAGGGTCAGGGTTTATGAACTTAACTCATATATGGCTAAGCTACTGCTGAGTGCACGCCGCTCCTTAGAAGCAGTGCTGCATCGTTTGTATGGCTCTGTACCAGACTTACACCCAGCTCAGCGCTCTCTGTGTCCATGCCAGCATTAACCCATAACCTGGGTGACCCAGAGTTTACTTCAGTAGCATCCCTTTCTGTCCTAAGATGTTTGAATGCAGCATTCAGCAAATAATGATTGTTCTCTTTTTCTTCTCTTCATCCATCAGGAGCTGGTCAGACTCACTATTGAAAAGCAGGAGCATCCCTCTCCCACAAGCCCAGTTAAACCCAGTTTACCAGCATGTAAATCTGACAGGTGAGTCACTGACGAGGATTTCTCCTGTGTGCAGAACTAATACAGAAGGGATCATTTCCAGCTGCTGATATTTGAATTAAAGCATTCAGTTATTCTTCACAGAGGGTAGCATAGTGTTCTCTATGTTGCTTCATCCGTTCCAGTGGGACCACTTAAAGAGAATATGCTATGATAGGGAAGATACCAAAATCTGGCAATGAAACACCACTTGGCCATGACACATGCACATTGTATTCAACATACACATGGAATTCCACCTGCAGATGCAAATTCTGCCTTCTGCTGTAGGTGTCTCTCATATGATTTAAAATATGTATTAATCTGTCAGCATGCTGCATTCCAACAGTGTTTTATGATTTGCAATCTGTATTTTGCTTGTTGCAGCCCATCAGAACTTCCCCTTACAGACCGAGAAATGGAGATCCTCAACAAAACAACCAATCTGACGCAATCCAACGAGCTACTGACTGACTCCATGGATGAAGAAGTTGCACCTCCTAAACCCCCTTTGCCTAGCATTCGTGTGGCAGAAAACAGGTACTACTGGCCAACCAGCTGACTGAAGAATACCAGTGGCTCTTACCAGCTTCTTGTGTTCTAGACAACCTTACAAAATGTGCATAAGAGAGGTCATGAGGAGGGTTAGTGATGCCTCTTCATTTCCTGTCCTCCAGAGTAATTCCTGCCTGCTCCTGGACTCTGCTTATGACTTTGTATTCTCTCTGTTTTGTTTTGAGCAATAGCCTTCATTATCTGTGTTTTCCTTTCCTCCTTTTGATGTGAGGATGGTGCCATGCTCAGAGATCCATGCGTGAGAGGCATCACACAAATGCGCAAGAACCTTATTTAAAACTTTGTGAATACCTCACTGTGTCTTGTGCTGTTGTATCCGATGGGAAATGTTCTGTTAGCCTCAGCTGGCAGTTACCAATCTGTCCTGCAGATCCAGGTTGTTCTGCATTGCTTATCAGCTTAAGAGTGAAAGGAGCCAATAGCGCGTGACAAAAACCTTTTGCTTGGTTGTTCTTACCCTGTTCTATGAGTAACCACATGAAAGTTTCTATGTTCTATTTTGAGCAGGAAGAGAAAACCCCCAGTTTGCAGGTTTTTGGTCTGTGTGTAGGATGTTTTTCTTCTCTAGTACTGCTGCTAAAATATGTGAAAAATACATGTCGTGTGCTAATTTGAAAATGTGCCATCAAGGGCTGTGGCTGGCAAAAAGAATCACATTTCTATGTATTTTATGAGTTCTCATGGGTTATATAAAAATTTCCTGGTACGTTCCAGGAACAGAATATGTATGCTCTTGGGAACCTCGCAGGCTTGACGGTTACCAGAAGTATGTGTCATGAGAAGCAAAAACTAGCAGTACAGGGGTTACTGCTAATATGTGTATCTGAAACAGATTCATGCCAAAACATGGGCCCTCACAATATACATGGTGAGAGCAACACTGACCATCTTGTTCTCTGAACAAGGAAAGTAAAAGTCCAGAAAAAGAATTTTCCTGTCCTTTTACTTTTTAAATTTTTTTGAAACTTTGAACACTTTCAAAGCGGGAAGGTTTGAGAAGGAGGGACTTCTGTGAATGGAAACAATATTTGGGTCAACCAAACCATTTAATTTGGATTTTCACCACTTTTATTAAGAAATAATTATCATGCTAATTATCTCCATTAAAAATAATTTTTAAAACAGCAATTGTTTTTGTTTGAGAAATACCAACTCTTTTCCAGCCTTAAAAATACATCACTGAACAGGACCTTACCTGTGAGAGTATTCTTAAATTAATATTTGTTAGTGGATACACTTTGCTGAATAGCTCCTGGCCAGCTTTGGACAAAAACCTGTGAGCTTTGAGCCTGACAAGTCAAAGGCTTTCTGGAAAACAAGCTCGTGAAGCCTCTAAAAATTCTTTTTGCTGGAAGAGTAATGTAAACATCAATGCCTGTTGTGTCTTGCAGCCCTCCACCAGCATTGCCCCCTAAAAAACGACAGTCGGCACCTTCCCCAACCAGAGTGGCAGTTGTGGCACCCATGAGTCGAGCCACCAGTGGGTCCAGTTTACCTGTTGGAATCAACAGACAGGTAATGGCATAACCCCTTTGTGAAAGCCAAGAGAAACATGCTGTGAACTGTAGCAGAAGCTGGGAGAAATGCCATGACCTGCAGCCGCACAGTTCCTTGCACGCTGCTGCTCGTCCCAAACTGCCCTGTATGGGAGAGCTCTGGAGCCAGACTTCTAGTGGCAGGAACATCAGTATCATAAATAACGTGAACAGCTTTTTTTTTTTTTTTTTTTTTTTTTTTTTTTTTTTTTTTTTTCCCGTTGTTGGATTTAATAACAAATTGCTACAAACTTTGTTGCCTTGAACTGTGGCAGAGTGTGATGATGTGAGCTGTTGAGTGCTGCCCTGTCGAACAGATCAGGGTGCAGCATGACTGGCTGAGCTTGCCAAGGTCTCACCAAGGTCTACAAGCCAAGGGAGCATGTGGCATATTGAGATCAGAAGTCTGTCTTCATCCAGTCACAGTTTAAAACATCTTTTAACCCAAGCAGTAGTTCGAGCAACTGCTCTGTCCACTGCTGGTGCTTTGGGGAAATTTATAAATTTTCTGGTAGAAAAAAGGAAAACTTGGGACTGTGTGTGTTAGTCATATTCCATTGCTTGTGCTAGTCTGGGATTTATGAGGTTGTAAGTGGCTGGGTTTGGTTTACACATTACACATTACTGTGGTCCTGATGAGCTTGTCTGACTGGAGAGGGCCTGCAGCACTGATCCTCTCCCCTCCTGGATTTCTTAACGCAGCTTTGAGGTGTTTGCTCCTCGAGCTGCATCTTGCTAGCAAGCTGCCAAGAATGACAGTGGTTTGATTTGATTTTTTTTTTTTTTTTTTTTTTTAAATTGCTTAAGGATTTTGATGTTGACTGCTATGCCCAGCGAAGGTTGTCTGGTGGAAGCCACTCCTATGGGGGGGAATCTCCACGCCTCTCGCCATGCAGTAGCATTGGCAAACTCAGCAAGTCTGATGAACAACTCTCCTCTCTGGATCGTGACAGTGGTCAGTGCTCCCGCAACACAAGCTGTGAAACGTTAGGTAAGCAGGAGGTTGGCCGGGGCTGCTGGAGGAGCCCCCTTCACTCTCGTTTGGAAACTGCCATAGCTGTGATGCAGAAATAAATGGATTGCACTTGCAACTGTCATCTTGTTGTTGCTGCAGGCGGTTCTGTGCAGCATTATATTCTGTCGGATAGGAAAAAGCCCAAGGGAATGTGTTTCTCTAGCTATAGAAGATTGTGTTCAAACTCAATTCAGCTCTCAAGTGGAATGTTTTGTTGATTTCTGCCTTGTCTGCAGAAATGACAGTCCTGGTAGACTAAAGGGATGTTGTTTCTACATACTAGGAAAGAAAATAAAAATATAAATATGAAACATAAATAATATCTGCAGTGATCTACCTACTGAATGTTTGTAACTTGTTTGCTAATATAAAGAAATAATGATAAGAGTTTCATTAAGGCTGGACATTGCAGAAGATGTAGCAAGATGGTCCCTGCTGCAAGGAAGTACCATTGATTAAATGAACTGATTAATTAACTGATGGAATGGGAGGGGCAGAACTGATAAGGGCTAAACAGTAAAAGAGAGAAATTAATGCATCATTCTCCCATCCCCTCTGTTTAACCAGATCAATCAGATCACTATGATCCGGACTATGAATTCCTGCAGCAGGACCTCTCCAACGCTGATCAGATACCTCAGCAGGTGCCAGGTATCCTCAGCCCATTGCCAGAGTCCTTGGGTGAGTCTGGCTCCCCTTTCCATGGACATGCTTTCCAGCTCCCGCAGGGCAGCTCTCCTCCACTGGAATTCTGCAGCCTCTCAGGAGCAGCGCAGCCAACAGAGACTCCTCCAGCTTTACCAGAAAAGAAGAGGAGGAGCGCAGCCTCTCAGACTTCAGATAACTCCGGCTGCAGGGTGTCCTATGAGAGGCACCCTTCCCAATACGATAACATCTCGGAGGATGACATGCAGAATGCAGCATCTGTCCCATCAGTACCCTTCACACCCTTTGCTGCTGTTTTGCCTTTCCAGCAAGGAAACTCTTCAGCACCGGTTGAATTCATTGCTGATTTTGCTGCTCCAGATTCTAACAGTGACCCAGAGAAGCCACCACCTCTGCCAGAGAAGAAAAACAAACACAGTAAGCAAGTTCTTGTGTTTGTGTTTTACTTTTACCTTTCCCTTTCCTTACAGTTGTCATGCTTCTGATGACCACCAAGTTATGATGACCCCAAAGTAATGCCTTTGCTTATGTGAGGCTGAGTATCAAAATCAGTTAGTCGGTGTCAAAGGCACGGAGGGGAAGTGTCAGTCTTTTGGCAGGCAGGGAGTGGCTCCTGGAGCCAGGAACGATCCAGGCCCAGGGGAGCTGGCATCATGCAGCATCTTCATTACTACAGTGAGACCATTTTACTTCTCCTTTTTACCTGAGTGCAAATCTTTGAGGCACTCTGCCTTGCAGATCTTCCTGGTTTACCCTCCTTTTTATGTTCGTTCCTTCCCCCCTGCCCCGATTTTATGTGTTTGCCCACTGCAGAAGGGAACTGGGTACTCTCCAAGAGCTCAGAGAAAAGGCTGCTTTTCTGTCCAAAACTGAGCATTGCCAGAGCAGTTACTTGGCAATAGGAACAGAGTCACCCACATAGCTGTGCAAGACAACACTATTAACCTAGTGTCCAGTACTGCTGTTTTGCTACAGGATCTCATTTCCTTTGGATGCCGAAGAATTTCCCACATCGTTAAAATGAGCATCCTCTAAATGTGAAGGCTCACCATCCCCAGCCAGGCTCCTGGGACTCCAGTACTGACTGTGACTCAAGCTCATGACCTTATTCTGATTTCCTTAATGTTCATGGCTGAAAACATGTGAAACCTCTTGCCAAAAAAGCAGCCATACTGATCTGCCAAGGAAGGCTGTGGACTGCATAGTGAGATCCAGCAGATGTTAGTTTACTAGTCACTGGCTTGCTTTGCAGTTGTATGCTGCGTGAGGAGGTAGCATATACAAGATCTGGATCAAAAGTTTAATGCTGTATGGCTGACAGCCCAAGTGAAGAGCTGGTCTGAGAGTGCCGAATTGGCTGCCTGACTCATTTCTGCAGTTTATAGTCTTTTTGCTGAGAACAAGGTGGAAGGGAGATCGGTGTGTTGTGCGGCAGGATCAGTATTCTGTCTATTCCTATGGTAGTGTACTGTGCCAGTCACTTTCTTTAAAAAAAAAAATCACTGACTAAAAGCATTTCCGTTATCCCTAAGTGACCAGATCACATTTGTAATCCTCTGGGATTTTACTCAAAACCCTAGGGCTCGACCCACCTGAAAGTGAGGGTGGTCCTGTAGTTCAGTGTCCCCATACACAGGAAATCACTTGCTCCTCTCTGGTAAGCAAGCAGTTAAAAGATACTGAAAGCAGCTAAAAAGGAGCTGAGATGTTTGTTTATAGACAACAGAAAGGAAATAAATGCTGGCACAGGGCATAGCCAAGGTTGTTTGTTATGGCTTGTGCTGTTCAAAATACTCGCCTGCAGTACCAGCTGCAAGGGAATGTGATACAGAGCCTCCTTATGTAGGCTCAGGTCCTTGGGGGCTCTGCATGTTAATAGTGAGGGCTGGGTCCAGGTGGTTTCACACCATGCAGGCTGGGATGGATGCAGGAAAATGCACCCCATACACGTAGGCAACTTCAGTAGGGGGTGACGCCTGCGTGAATCTTGGGGTAGGAGGCGATTTGACAATTGAAAGGGAGACCTGGGCTGTTTGCTTTTCTCTTTAAGCCCCGTTTCTTTGTTTTCTGTTATCATATGAGATGTGAAGGAGTTACTTAAAAACAATTAAAAAAGCTATCTTCTCCATTATTGCCCATGCACAATTTTAAACTCAATACCAAGGCCTTGTATGTGAATGTTCTTTGATGTTAGAATAGAGTTATTCTGTCATCTGGCACTATCAGAAGCTCTTGGAGTACTGATCAGATTGCATTGTTAGGAAAGGTGTTGTCAGCTCCGATGGTTTGATAAACCATACTTGCTGCAGAGCTTGTAGTAGTAGTTGGGCTGATACCTGACTGCTGTGGATTTTTTAATTGCATTCATGTGACACTGAGAACTTACTTTAGATTGTCTTGACTCCACAGTATATCACACCACAGATCTGTGGTTGTTAGTTTTACTTTTATTTTCAACATTAAAAGGACAGTAAAACATTACTCAGGCTGTAGGGTAGCACCCACGATTTTTTTGCCTGGAGGCTGATGCATGTAGATATTCTTGTGTAATCACATAGGTGAGGCACTGCTGCTTCCACAGCCCCAACAAACTCCTGGGATCTGGACAGGAGATGCGTGAGTTTATTAAAAAGATCTAGAGCTCACACAGATGGGACTTGGTTATAGTCTCTTTGTTGTGGATCCTCTTTTGGTAGGTGGCAGGCAATGTTGCAGCAGAGCCTTTGATGGCCTTTTTATTGCTAATATACAACAAATCCTTCTCAAGTTAACCATGTGTATTGCTGTGAGCTGTGCTCAGAGGGACCTCCTGAGTTGACTGCTGTGTAATTTAGACAGCGGAGTGATAAGCCTTTTAGTCTGGCATGAATTAGTTATTTTACTGTGCTGTAAGAGTACATGTTACTGTGCTAAGGGCAAATGGCTCCACACTTCTGCTTGAGCACCAGCACCATGCTCCTGCTGTACAAGACACAGACGTGGAACAACTTCTGCCATGAAGAGCCCAGAGTCAGAAATAACAAGATCTTTCCCCCAGACAGCTTGGAAACTAGTGGTGAGGCACTTATTCATGTTTCCCTCCCTGTCAGTGGGAACAAAATGCAGGCTGGTGCCCTGTAAGCAGCTGGCATTTAACTGCAGGAACCACACTGAGGGCAGTCTGGGCTTAGCCAGTGAATAATGCGAGCTCTTTGAAAAACAGCACTCCTCCCAGAGGTGACAGCAAAGACTGGCTTATTTGACCTTGACTTCTCCAGTGAGTTGATGTGTGGTATAGTTTAAGAATTTCCATAATTTTGGCTCTTGCCCATGCACACAAATCTGTTGCACTTGTTTAGGGCCAGTTGTAACACAGGCTGCTTGATTCAGCACCAGGAGTCGGGCTAGACCTGCAGGGAGTCCTCCGCATCAGACACTCCTATGCCTCACTTATGCTGCAGATGTGCCTTACTGCTGATGACCTTCGAGCAGTTCCTTGCGGATTCCAACAGCCACCGGTCTGAGGGTGTTTTCCTGACAAGAGGTCTCTTGCTGCTCTCTCTCCTGTCCCGCAGCCCAGTGCTGCTTTCAGGGCCGATGGCTGCTCTGTCCAGCTGCCAGCACCGGCCTCACGGTGAGCTGGCTCAGGCACTGCTGGTTCCCCCTGAGCAACACCTTCTACCATGTGGGCAGAACTGGTGTGTGCTGGAAACCCCTGAGCAGCTTTAGCTCCTTTAGAAATGACAGCCAAGACACTGCAAGCAGATTGCTGGGAAGGTGTTCATAGCCTCAGTCTGAGATGTATGGGGTTTTTATTTCAAATATTTCTGTCTGGGTTCAGAACTGACATAAGCTGGGCATGTGGTGGGAGAGGTTTCTTTCACACCTCTCTTTTCTCCTCGGGTGCTGCCTTGAGACTGTCACTCCGCCCCAGTGACACTGTGGAGGTTGCAGCCCCCTTCCCTCCCTCTGCACAGAGTCACTGCACGGTGTGCAGCCTGATCTGAGCTGGTGATGTAATTTCCCATCTGCTTTTTAAATTTCTGCCTTGTTAAAAACCACAGCAGCAAGGGGAAGGGATGGAGGGAGAGGGGGGAGAGAAGACCCTTTGCAAACAGCAGTCGCAGGAGTGATCCTGCTCCCTTAGTCTCCTGTTCGAGACTGGCCGCATTTTAATGATGCCCATTTTAATTTGCACTCTAGAGTCTCTACACCTGAGCCAGGTTTGTATTTCACTATCCCAACTGTTTTTCACTTCAGCTAAAAACAGAGAAGATGACAAAGTAGAAGCAGAGACATGCTCACCTGCCCTGGACTAGTTGTAACAAGCAAGGCAGGGGAGCTGCTGTGACAATGAGATGCATTAGCCTCATAAAGAGCTGAGATAAAAGAGCTCTTCATTATTCCCTTGCAGATTGAGTTAAGGCTCTCAACAGCATTCAGGCTTACTACCTTGAGTTATGGTAATTTAATTTTACACAAGTGTATAATGCAATACCCTTTTTACCAACACTTCCCGAGTTGTAGTGTCATACAGATGTCTGAACCCAGGGACTCACAGCCATCAGTCCTGAGCGCTGTCTTCAGATCTGGGTGTTAAGTGAAGCACTGTTTTTGTAGGTAACTCCACATAAAGCGTTGGTCTGAATTTAGTAATGTCTGCTGCATTATACCAGGACTGCCAAGCCTGACTTTTTGGCTTTTGTCCTGCTCAACTGATGAGCTCTCAAAATGTGTTTTTTGCGCTCAAGCTTTTGCCCTCTACACTTTTCCAAGGAGTCTTGATCCTTAGCTCACTTTTGCTCACTTTTGCTGCTAGAGAACTATCTTCTGTAAGCCTTTTTTATCCTTTAAACTTGTCTGTGATACGAAGGCATTTTTCGGGACATGAGTATTATTAAGAGTAGCTTAGTCAACTGAATTGCTGATATTTGGAAACTGTATTTTAGCAATTTTGTATGTTCTACACCAGGACTCCTTCGCCATAATTCAAGTAAGAGAATATTGACAGAACGTGCTTCTTTTCACTGTTAGGACTTGGGCTGAAAATCACATGCATGAGCAAATTTGATCCTGACTTTGACATGAGTACTGATACCAGCAGATGAGCGGGCACAAACACACATACCAACACACATGTGCGTGTACTTTGAAACCTCTGTCACTCCCTTCAAGAAGGAGAGGTCTGAACCTTTAATATTTCCATTGAACCACATTTCAGATGTGACACATCTGTGAAGCGTGGCTGGAAAGGCAGGAGGGCAGCTGGAGGAGGAGGAGGAGCAGGGCTTGGGTAGCAGGGGCTGTTGGAGATCTGAATGTCAGCAGCCTTGGCAGAGCTGTGCAGGAACTGGCAGTACTGCGGGACACGAACAGGTTGTCCACTGGCAGGACTGTGGGGTCACAGGATGGGGCCAGCAGGTGTTACCGGTTGGGATTGAAATCCATCAGCTGAGGTTTCCTGCCTTCCAATTACCACGACTTTTTTTTTTCTTTAATCTATTTTTTGGAGGAGGAATATGATTCTGTGAGAAGGGTCAGCTGTGTTAGCTATATTTCTAAACAGAGTTTAAAATCTTAGAGGAAATCTGTAAAAAGGTGCAAAAGACAGGTGCAAAGCAACTCCTTCCTGCCAACACGTTTGCACGGCTGCATCCTGTTTGAAATAGGCTGGCCCGTAGATCTGCATTGGCAGGTGAACAGAGGGCTTTGCCTTGCAGCTAGTGTGGGAACCCGCTTCACGATGTGCATTGTGGTCGTTGTATTTATAGCTTTCACTGAAGTCATCCATTCATTTCAGCTGTACAACTGAAATGCCAGCAGAGGCTGAATAATTGCCACCTAATGACCAGATTTACAAAAACTGACAACTGCTTGTTTATCGGGAGGAAGGTAGGAATGATCACAGAGGATCTTGTGCGTGACAGCGTATTTACAAAAAGGCTTCGGTTAGTCCTTTTTTATGACGCTTAAATACATCTGTTGCTTCTGTTCTCAGGTATATAGAAGAGAGTTCTTTGTCTGTTTTACATTTATTGAGTACCCTTCTGATCCTTAATAATTCTGAGCATTTGTAGTGGTCTTTCTATGACACTGGCTGTCATTCTCCCCCTCCAACACTAAAATATTGTAGCAGCAAGTAATCCTCTGTCAGAGCTGCATAGACTGTGTGGGTTTTGTCATAGATTTTGGAAGGATATTGCACAGATGGAATGGTCCTTTAAATGAGATTTGATCCTATTTAATATTTCCATTGAACCACATCTCAGAAAAGCTTTTGAATCAGTTGTATTCCAGAATTGAAAATGATAAGATGCTTTAAAAAGAGATGGGAGCAAAGGGTGTTGGATTTGAGTTAAGGGGCTAGGAAGGCATGGTCAGAGGCACTTCTAGAAGGTAAGTATCTGTACCGGCAGTGGCATATAAATAGCTGAGAGGGAGGTACACTGAGTCTCACAGGTAGTTGTTCTCTGATGTTATCAGTTTTATCAGCTTGCTAGAATGGAGAAAGGCTGTAAGCATCCTCATTTCAGAACTCTTGCTGACTACAGATATGAGACTTATTATAGGCACAAGCATTGTTATAGATTTATTGTCAAGGTTGCATCTTTGTGCAAGCTGATTTGTGTCTCCTAGAAAGCGGACTGAAGTTATTCTGGGTATTTTTGTGACTTTAGGCATTAGCTGCTGAGTAATATTCTCAAAATTGCCATGGGTTACATGAGAAAGGGATGTGGGCTAAGCACCAGTGAATCAGACTTCTCAAGTAGTTGTTTGGAGACCTCACTGGCTCCTTAAACTGTTGTCAGATATGTCTTTGGCCTGTGATTGTGTTTGTTGTGCGCTGCCTTGCAGGACGGGATATTCAGATCCTTTCCTGCAAGGTGGGTGGCAGCTGGCTGTGTGAACTACCTGTCAACACAGCGCAGATGCCTTGCTGCTCCCAGCCTGCCTCAAAGCCCGACTGACAGCGCCACGGCCTTACTCTTATCTTATTTTGAGAATGAGTGTCCTGCCTGCTTGTTGCAGCTGCAGCACGTAGACCAGGAGCAGTGAGTGTGACCTTTCCTTGCATTGCAGTGATGGCATACATGCAGTTTGTGGAAGACTACTCGGAGCCCCAGCCGTCCATGTTCTACCAGACCCCTCAGAACGAGCACATCTACCAGCAGAAGAACAAGCACCTCATGGAAGTCTATGGGTTCAATGACTCCTTTATCAGCTTAGACCCCTCTCAAGATCTGGCACCTCCTCCTGCTCTGCCACCCAAGCAGCGGCAGCTGGTGAGTGACATCTGCAGTGCCCTCCCCGGCGGGACACACCAGCCTCCCAGGAGCAGCTCTGTTCTTGCTGCTCCTGTTTCTGACAGGCTGCAGTGGTGGGAGGATGTCTCGTTGGTGTTACCACATCATGCTCCTTGTCATCTTGTTAATGTGTTTTTAGGCATTTTACATCATCTACTTTGAGCTCCTTTCTAACCCCATGTTCAGACTGTTCCCCATAAACTCTGAAAGTCCTAAAATGGCCTAAAAATGAAACATTAGTGTTCCACATGGCCTGGTTGACTCTGCCAGACTACGGGCTGTGTAACAAAAACTGCTTTGAAGATTTTGACACACTGGGCAACACGATTTTCGAGAGATTGCTGCACTGTTGTTCCCAGTGCTGTTTTGAAACTGTTGTCAGGGATGCCACTAATAATGACCGTTTAAACATAATAACTACTGCTTTTATGGCTCAGTCTTTGCCAGAGCCAAAGAACTTTGGTATGGCCATTATTTAACTCATGCTTGTTTTCTCCACATTTGTCCCCTTGTGTGATGCAGGATTTTACCTGCTTTTCAGTGTTCTGCTGGCCCTCCCAGACTGCCAGCACAAAAAGGCACATCTTACACATGTGTGTGTGTTGGGTGATGGGTTTAACCGTACAGCGAGTGCCATTTTCCACATGGGGGATGAAATTCTGGCCTCTGTGATGGCAGCAGAAGTTTGATTTCCATGCTCAGTGGAGCTGGGATTTTGTCCTGTTTCTTTTAAGGGTCTTCCTTTCTTTTATCTTTTTTTTTTTTTTTTTTTTTTTAACTCCAACCTTAGGGGTTTTACTTATATTCATTTTTTTATTTGCTTTACTTAAAAAAAAAAAACCAAAACAAAACAAAAAACCCACATCTTTCATGCTGATATTGGCCATGGCTTTAATAAAACAGGAAGAAATGTGTGAACAAAGCCATGGCCTTACCATCATGAGGGCAACTGTCGCAATATTCTTCACATTATCTGTGCTAAAGTTTGTCCCAGGGTATTACTTTTTAATCAAATAGGAGAAGCAACCAAGAACTCTAATTTGGGGATTTGCATAACTATATTCCTGTGATGAGGTAAAAGTCCTAAAAAGATAAAGCAACATTTCCAGCTAAGCTAAACTGAGTATTATGCATTATTGCTTTGTGGAGATGAGCCCTTACACTCCCATGTCCCATCTGCTTTGCAGGGACACTGAAGAGTCTGCAGGACTCCTCTCTGAAGGATCAGGTGGTTTTCCAGAGTCTGTGGCCCCCTTGTCAGTGTGATCCTTGCACTGTCACTTTGCACCATGTAGTCCCTTGCCCTACCACCTCCTCCTAGAGGTGGCTACGCTGTAGTGACAGTTCCCAGCGGTGACTCGGTCTACACCATCATGAGAGAGGGTGTGTGATGCACAGATTTACTGCAGCCATTGTGCAGAAGGGAAATTCTGCTCTTTTTCTGAAGCTGTTGGCTGAAGCAGAGCATTTCTTTGCTGCCCTTTAATCATTTTCTGGGCAGCCACGATGTCACAGGTTTGCCTGCTAGGCATTCTTGTAGTTTTGCAAGCTGATACCATCAAGGTGTTGCTTGCAGTTCCCCTGAAGCAAAGGTTTCTTCAAGTGGAGCCTCCCACCATCACCTTCATCCCTGTGCTGGGAAAGTGGTGCAAGTGGATGATGGCTTATTCCAACAGTCACTGTGAAAGCCACCAGACTCTTGTTCCTCTGCTCCTGCTGCCGTGAGAGTTTCTGCAATAGCAAATCACATGGGCGTCAGCTGCTCTAGCAGTAGGCAAGTTTTGCTGGATGGACTCCTCTCTAAAATATTAATTAGGGAGTCCTTTCTTTTGTGCTTCAGGTCTTATTTATGAAACATTATATGTTATTTAGCAAGTCAAAGCTGAGAAAGCCTAGCTATACCTTAGCCTCCCTCAGACCCCTTACTAACAGTGGAATTCAGGAGAAATTCCTTAATAGTATTTGTTACTTAGTGTAATATCTCCCTCTTGTGCAAATTATATATAACTTTGGATTGGATTGACAAATGGCTGGACATCACTGTTACCCAGTGTCTCAGCAGTACTCAGCCCATAACTCACACTGGAGAGACCAGGTTCCCAGTCTGTAGATTGCCACAAAAAACAGTAGTTTGCAAGAACTGGCTGCGTAGCAGCCAGAAGCAAGAGCTGGTTCCTCCTTTGGGCATCTGCCCCCCACACGATGGGGGAAAAAGGGCAGCAAGGAACAGCTTGCCTCTCCCCGCAGCAGCTGTCCATGGGTGAGCTGGAAGGGGGAGGCGGGAGTTTATTTTTAAGGGATTTGTGAAACAAAGAAGATTTGAACTGTGATTTTTGTCATGCCTCTTGAGCCCAAGAAAGGCATATTGGTGTGTCTGGCTCTGATGAACTGTATGAATAGCTGTTTGTTTAGCAAGCCATTATATGCATTGTTTTACAGTTAGCATTTCTTATCCTTTATTCATAGCCTTTTCTGTGCTCTCTTTCTTTGTGTCTTCTGTCTCTTGCTTTCTTCCCCCTCTTCAGCAGGCCTCCTATGCTGCCTCTTCTTTCTCTTCTGTCTCCTACTGTGTCCAGCAAACTAAAGTGCCCTTCACCCCCGAGGACACCGGTGCCACTCAGGGCCTCACTATGTCAGTCTCTAACTCCTTTCTCAACCGGCACAGCTCCTTTCCTGTGCATTCGGTGAGTTGCTCTCTGCACTTTAACACGTGTGCGTATTTGTGTCGGTGAAACGCTTGTGTGCAAATTCTGTGCTTATGCTTTCAGTTTCAGGTAAAGGTGAAGGTTCTTTTGGGGGCTTTTGAACTCATGTAGTAGTCGGCCAGGTGAGAACAACTGTGTGTAAATCTTACTAAACGAAGCACAGGGGAGGTGTGGCTTTCATTACTTTATATACACACTGGTATTGACGTTTGTGGCGAGGCAGTGACGAAGAAGAGCTGGCCTGTGCCTGGGCACACTCCTTTGACCTGCACATTGGAGCTGCAAAGTCTTTTTGTTCCATTGCATAATGTCAGAGATGTGGATGGGTCCATTAAAGGCTGCAGTGTGAATCTGGCCTTTGGAGAAATAATGAGATATTGTCCCTGAAATATATGGATTTAGTCAAATGTATGGAACAGTGGCTGCAGCTCCCTGATTTTTTTTTTCTAGAAAATGACCTCTACCAGGTCTTTCATCTCTTATTTGTTCATCTGCTTCCCTTCACATCTCCATGGTCCCAAACAAGCTCAGTAAGATTGTATGATTTGCTGACGAATGAGCAGGGTTTTCTCTTCTACAGCACTTGTGAGCAGTCTGAGAACGTCAGGAGAAGCTGAGACTGATTTATACAGAATAACAATAATACTAGAGCACCGCTTAGATCTGTGATCAGCTGCTTAAATTAAATGGTAGTAATAACAAAGTGTTAATATAATGAAATTATATCTAACCATGGGAATCCACCAGCTCATCAGTATGGGGTTCGTTTGCATGTAAAACTACGTGGTTATGCTCTGATTGCTGTGTGATGACAACTGAGAATAGGCTATTTTTTAACAGTGACCTGGATGTTTAGTAAATTAGACTAATTCTGGAGAAGAAGTTATCAAACAAGACTTGAGAAAATTCAGAAGTATTCAATTAGTTTAATATTAAATATTTGAAAATGGTATCCTCCCACTGTGCCACTGCTATCTTCCCATCTCAACACTTACTCATTCTCTAAAAATAAGCGATAATTGTAGGTCCGAAGAAGAAGAAGAAAGTATTCGAGTACTTTACAAGTAGTGCTACTTCACAAGCAATGAATTAAAGCTTTTGGCTTCCACTTGTGTGAGAGAGCAGTTTTATAGTTTTGCTGCACAGATGAAAAGGCTGAGGTGTGGAAAGGTTAGCGCTTGACTAAATTTGTGGTAAACAGTTTTAAAATTTGAAATAGTGCAGAAGTTCTGAATCGTCCAGCTCTCTTGTTCGATAGTGATCCTTGCAAGCAAAACACAGAACTGTAAGACCAGGTAAAAGCACTTGACCATTTTTGTTTTAATTGAGAAGCTATAAATATGATAATATAGTGTTCTAAAAATACATGTGGGCACTTTGTTTTTAAAAAGTGTCCTGGTTGGATTAAATGGTTACTACCTACTTATTGTTCTGACCTGTTCTCATCTTGCTTTGAACTACATTATTGTGAGTGTATTCTTTTATGAAATGGTAAAACTTCATTAAAAAACCCTTACTTGTTTTTGCAAAGGATTTGGTGAGGGGAAAATAAATGGCTGGAGCATGAGGAACAATGAGAACAATTAGACAGTGCCCTGTCAAATGCACAAAGGAAATAAGTTGAATTAAAAATGGTGATTTTCCCATTAATGTCTTTAAATTATGATAATCTCATAGTTGCTCATGACTCTAGCTGGTCTATTTTTTCACAGGCAAAAATGAGATTTTTCGCTATGACAGTGTCTCTTTGTCTCCGAGCTGCAGAATACCACATCCTTACACGCATCATAGCTGACCCATGTAATACCATAACCATGGTTTATCCCATTTTCCCCATCCCTAATAAGACAGAGATGTGAAACAGCTGTCAAGGTTTGGATCATTCCCAGGGTGACACCCTGCATTTCAGCAGGAGGAAGGACCAGAGCCTGAGGTTTCATGCAAGGGATGGCATGAGCTGCACCAGTAATGCTTTAAGTGCATTGCTCTGCTCTTCTTATTCTCATGTCTTCATTTTTCTTCTCTCACTAGGAAAAGCCACTCAAGTGAGCACTGTGGTGAACAATAAATCTGTTAAAAAATAAGCATTAGCTTTCCACCAGCCCCAGCCAGGGAGTTAATGCTAGGGAGAGCACACCTCTCTAGGTGAGAGGAGAGTTAATGCTAGGGAGACTTGGCCTCTTGTGTACCCAAATATCAGTGGTGATTATCAGATCTCTTATAATTATATGTCTCCTACATTAATCATTATCCATTCCGTACAGGAAGGAAAAACCTCCTTAGATCAATAGCAGGAGCTGATAAACGAAATGGCTGTCCCTTGACCCAACGTGAGCAGGTTTTCCAAGCGTAGCCAATTTTCAGAAAGTACCCTCTGCTTTTTTCCTTCCCCGGAGACTGGCCTGGGCTGGGCAGCAGGAATCAATCCCAGGGGGAAGACCTGGCCCTGTCCCCATCTGTTCACACGCAGACAGCAGGAAAGCCGAGCCTACACCATGGTTTGGATGTTAGCCCGTTAGCTCTGTGCTCCAGGTGAAGGACTAGCGCCTTGCTACTCATTTAAGGGGCTTAGAAAGACTGATTTCAAACTGTGTTTTGAAGCAAAAAAGAGGTGAAGTTGTTCAGAGCATCTCTACTCTTTTAATTTTTAATATATGAATTCCTTTGCAAGGACCCTGGCTTTTTTCTTTCCAATCAGCGCTGCAGACGCTGCTGCAGTCCAGAAGCCACCGCTGCTCTTGTCAACCCACTAATCGCACTTTTCCCTTCTTTGCAGGAAATTGTGTCAGAGGTAATAGCTTTTACTGGATAGAGGCAGATCTTGAGCAACTGGATCAAACCTCATAGGTTTGGCAAGTTGAGCTTGTTTTTTACCGAGTCTGATTCGCGTCTGGCCTCTGTGCCAGCAAAGGGTCGTGTTTGTAGTGTGGGCTGATGTTGTAAGGAACTGCAGCATCATATTCCCCATCCCATGCACAGCTAAACTGTTAAATCTCACACTGGTGGGACAACTGGATTGTACTGTCAAGAGTCATTCTAGGGATTCCCATCTCTTTTGAAAGTACTTTCTATGGCTAAACAGTGAGAAAGGAGGGATGCAATAAGAAAGCATCCTCCTTGGTGATTGTTGGCAGTAATTTTCCTCTTGCTGATCACCTCCCTCCCTCCTCCTTGTGAAGACAGAGCTGCTGTCCTTTGGTTTATTAATTTCTTGTGCTATTTGACTGGAAATGGGTGGGCAGGTTTCTGTATGGTAGAAATCAAATCTTTAAATTTCGTTACTTCCTGGCAGCTGGGGAACTCGTCGCTGATAGAGGAAATCAGTCCGGTGACAAGCTTTACTGCTATCTGTCCACATATTTCCCAGCAAAGACTGCAGAAAGTCTTGTGTTCAGTTACAGCTAAGAAGCTTTTCCTTGCTGAAACAAGGAACACAGTTATTTCTCCAAGGCATGCACATGCCATTAGTGGAAATTTGGCTGCATCCTCCACTGTGAGGAAATAACTTGCCTTTCTCAAAATGCTGTTTTTTTTTTTTTTAATTAAGAAACATTTCCAGTAATTTTCCAGAAACCAAATTGACTGTTGTATTCCAGTGGAAGGCACAAGTGATTTCCTTATGGAGGCTCCAGTTCAGCACTTCTGTTCTCACTTGTTCCCACCGTTCTTGAGCAAATTGAGCAAGCGCACAGTAAATTCACAGCAACTGTTTTTCTTTCTTGTGTGTGTGCTAACGTCTGTTCAGGAAAAGGAGGGTCGGATAAGTATTTAAAGATGCACACAATGCAGACATGTGCATGGCATGTTTTCCCCACTTCACCCCTGCTCGTGTAGCTGACTTCCAGTCTGCAACACACGCTGCAGCTCTGGCCCTCAGCAGAGACTGAGCTGTTCCGATTCATACGGTGGCCCAATGGTGGGAGCCACGATCAAACCTGGACTGGGAGATCATAGTGTGTGAGTTCATTTCTGTCCTAAACGGGGTTTGGCTTCTTAGTCTGGAGCAGAAGGAAGGGGAAAAAAAAGAAAAAAAGATCTGCATCCATTTAACCAACTGCTGAGGTCTAGGTATTGTTTTGCTTTTCCTGTTTAGTGTTCCTTCTGCATTTGTGTTCATTTCCACTGCCTACGGCAGGCCTGGATGGTGGTATTAATAGTGCTGTTGTATGCTGGCATCACCGACTCCTGCTTCTGAAAACCACATCCTGTAGTGGTTTATGCATTTTTCTTGAAGTTGGAGCACTACAGGTCTCTGTGGAGGTCTGTCTGACTTTTTAGGCCACATGCACAGCAGTTTTTGTGGGACTGACTTTTTAGGGGTTTTGTCTTTTTCTCCAGGCTCTGCCTTTTAAAGATCTGCTTGCTAGATACAGTGGTATTGTCTACAAGCTAAACAAGGGTTGATGCTGTAGGTGCAATCACATTGAACTGACCTGATAGTTTCAAAAGAGAGATGCATGATAGCATGGTTAATAAATCTTACAAATGTTTCCTTCTTTCCCCTTATTTGTTTTGTTGCAAAGATGTACAAGAATCCCTCCCATTTAAAGAGAAGTTTGGACTTCGTGTTTTCTTGTGCAGAAGCCAGGAGACCCTTTCTCAAGGGAACAGCAAGCCCCGTCTATCCATCTGCTGTGCTAACCACCGCTTGAAAACAGGGAGGTCAGCTGTGCAGCCAGGTCAGAGGCTTTGCTGAGAAACATTCAGACATGAGGAGTTGCTGCCTTTCCGGTGGCAGTGCTTGAAGCCATTCCGTTGGCAGCTTGTGTTTCCAGCCATTCATTGCAGGAGCATTTCCTTCCTCATTAGCAAAAGTACCTGGAAGCCCAGCATTGTGTCATGAGATAGGAAGTCTTTTCCAATAGTTGTCTGTGCAATTATATTCTTAGGGTGTAACAGCTTTGTGCAACACCCAGTGTTTTGTGAACATAGTTCTGTACTGTTAGAATTTGGGCATCCAGTTCTGGCGTATTGCCCACATCGCTCTCTTAATAGCATGAGCAGAGGAGATCTAGAAGATTGATCCTTTCCCCTGATAGCTTCATGTTTTGGAACCCTGATGCTCTATCTGATCTGGGAGTGTCTGGCAGGATCGCAGATTAATTTGGCAGAACATGTCTGTAGGGTAACTGAGAAGTCTGTGCTTAAAAGGTAAAGGCTGCGTCTGCTGATGCTGCAGATGCTCTGTCAGCCATATAATTGAATTCAACTTTGAATTTAGGATGGAGACTGCTGTAACTCACAACTAGTGACTCTCTGCATATAAACACCCTGTCTCCTGTTACTTGTGGTCAGCCATGCCTGGTGAATGTAGAGAAGCATCACTCTTGAAATAAGTTTTCTATTAGAGTGCTTATCTCCTGCCATCTAATCCAAATAAACGGTCATCATGTCATTGACCTTTGGGACATCCTGTAACACTGCTGCTAATGATGGAAAGCTGTTCTAAAATACTGACCGTTGCAAAAAATCAAAGGCAGCAAATTGAAAACATTGGAAGATGCCATCTCTGGAAGACCCCTCTGTGTCACGGTGTGTGGTAAACATTCAGATCCGGGCATGTTAGCTTCCTGCAGTACCCAGGAGATGAGATTGCTCCCAGCTCAAAGCATGCTTTGTGGAAGTACTTCCCAAGTGGCAGATAAGTGTGTTTTTTTTTTTTAAATCTGTTTTATTAGTGAGAGGAGAGGATGTCTCTCTTCTCCCCGTGTTGGCTATTTGCCATTGTAGGTCAGGATCACTCATGTTGGGAGACCATCTTCTGGTCCTGTGGTGGGAGCCTGGCAGAGTGGCTGGAGTTTGGACAGAGGAAAGCATCCTCTCTTTCTAGCTTTTTGCTAGCTTTTTGCACCTCGCTTTCTAGCTTTCCCAGAGATTATTTCAAAGTACTTAAAGCAAAGCCATGAGTAGGAGGTTGTGTCAGTACAGTCATAACCGAGGCCTTACTGACCCTGCAAGAAACCTCTAGGAAGCAAGTGCTGATTTGTTTCCAAGATAAACTGTTGCCTGTGATTTCTTGGGGGGAGGACTAGAGGATGACTAGTTTGTGACAGTTCTGTTGAATGGACTGTCCCCTCCCAAAAAAAGTATGTCTTTTCAAGGATGACAGGGCTTCCAAGGGATGTACAACACCCAAACCCGGTGGAAATCATTGCCACAATTCCTGCTGCAGCTGCTGGCTGGGCTGGGCTGGGCTGGGCTGGACTGGGGAGCAGCAGGAATGGATGACATATGGACATCATCTCCACCACAGGGTGGTTTTTTTCCCCTTTAAAAGTATGCTTCATTCTTGGCTCTTGTCCCAGCACGGCTGCATAGCTGGAATTCCAGAGCTGCTTGCAGGCTCCGGAGGAAGGAGGGGGCTCCCTGGCTCGCTTTCTACAAGATGCAACTTTACGAGATTGGAAGTTGAGAGCAGCCTGGGTAATTAACGCCAGCGTACCAAAGGCTTCTCTGCACTGTTCCCTTTGTTAACAGCATGCTGAGAGCATGTCTGCATCCTTAAATGATTGTTCACGGATCACATAATGAAGATTAATGTGTTTTCCTGGGTACCTGGGCTTTAAACCAGCATTTTCAACACATTGTATGCCAAAATACTGTTTTGTAAAGGTGTTATTGATGAGGCTGAGGAGAGATAAATATATAGTGTTTGTCAAAATATATAGTGTTTGTCAGTAGTAACGTATCCACATTCAAACTTCTAAAATTTAAGCAATGCTACGTTATATTTGGTTCTAAATTGCCTTTGAATTGGGATTAATGTCTCTGAAACTATGCAAAGCAGAAGCCCTGCAAATTTTCCTGTCTCAGAAGCAGTCCTTCATCTCGCAGAGTGGCTAGCTCAGCCTGCCGGCAGTGTACCAGGCAGTGGCTCAGCTGCCGAGCCTCCCAGCCAGCATTTGGCCTGAACTAACCCTGCCAGCACCATCACGCAGCGTGGGAGCTTCGCAGGGTGCTGCCTGTCCCACAGTGACTCGGTTGAGGACAGTAATTTCCTTTCAGTGTGCCCTGCGTGAGCTCCGCTGGTGCTTTGCAAAAGCCTGGCTTTTTCCCTGGGTTCGGCAGGTCAGAGACAAAAACCCCTGGGACTCCTCGGTGGAAGATGTCTATCAACTACAAAGTGAAGGACAGCATATGCCGCCCGTCTTGTGTGCGTACAGGAAGCCCAGCTCTAGGGGAGCTGGCACATAGCTCCTGTTTGAGCAAATTATTTCCTTTACTGGAGCAGAGGATCTCGTTATCGGGACAGCAGTTTGTTGAGTTCCTTCTTGAGCCATTGCAGCAGTGGTTGGTGGGATTAGACGTTCTCGATCTGCTTTGCTCCTGTTCTGTTTTTGGGGTCTAGCCTGGGACTTGGGGCGATAGTTGGCATGTTAGTGCTGGTGAGATCATGAAATACCAGGGAGACGGGGCAGGCATAATGAATCTGCTGAGCCAAGATGATGTCATGAGCCTGGCGTCTTACGAGGGATTTAGTGTTTTGTGCCATGCAAGTGAAAATGAATAAATGTAGAGCATTTATCCAGGCAGAAAGTAAATACAGAGATTAGACTTGTCATTGTTACTGAGGCAGCACCAAAAGCTGACAGTGTCCCTGGAGCCAGGGCTGCTCATCCGGAAAGAAATGGGCAGGAAGAGAGAGGAGCCTGTCCTAGAGCCAGTCTCCTTTTAGCCACAGGCATGTGGTAGGGATTTGCATTTTAATTATTTTTCAGTAGTCTTTTAAGCTCTCTTTCCAAAGCATCTCCCTCTGCTCCTCTGTATTATGGCCTGCTATTTGGTTTGGGCCCCGAGAATACACCCAGAGCACTGCCGGACTCCATGCACAGCGGAGGGCAACCAGCGGAGGATTAAGGTGGTGGAAGGTAAAGTCTAGCCATTGACCTTTAAGTTTCCTTTCCTTTGTAGTGGAAAAGCTTTTTTGCCCAGGCTTCTGGCCCGAGGCTGTTCTCAGTTTAGATTTTTAAACTCACATCTTTCCTAGGTAGAAACAAAAATACCACTGCCGAGCTGGCTGCTGCTGCTGCAGCTCAGGTGACAAGACTGAGCTTTGCTTTTTAGCACCCGCTCAACTCTCCTGAGAAAATGTAGCCTGAATTCTCTAATTGATGCCTTTGTTTCCCCTTCTCCTTTTTACATCACAGCGGTGTCACTTTTCAGCCTGGTTTGTGCAAGTTGTGTGTGTGCTTCCTGAGAGCTCAGTAATGCACCGTCCTCCTGCAGCAGATCGCTCAAACGAGCTTTATTTCAGCGTGGGTTTTTTTGGATGATGTGATTCTTCCTTCAGTCCACTTGGCTACAACACAGATCTCGCTAGTGGTTGAGCTTTACAGGTTCTAAAATAAACTCCTCTCCAGCAGGTTAAGCATTATTGTCTTTTTTTTTTTTTTTTTTTTATCTTACTAGCACCAGATGTTAAAAGACAGAGGGTTGCTCTTGTTTTTCTTGGCACACTATATTCCCACTGCACCCTGTTTAATATTATCTGAACAGTAATCTGATGATTAGGAGAGATAGTGAAATAAAGCTTTACACAGATGATCTCTTCAGCTGACTTTTCAAGGCACTGCATTAAAGGATCGGTTTGATAAGGAATTCATCGCTCCTGAGGCCAATTATCATTTTTGCTCCCTATGTTTCTCAAATGGGAAGGAGTAGCAGTGTGTAATCTCTTTTATCCTTCAGTGTAACTTTGAAGACAGTATCCAGCCACTCCTCCCTGGGAGGCGTGTGTTCTGGAACAGACTTGACACAGTAGCTGTTAAATTACAGGGCTGGAGCAAATGGCATCTTAAATTTGGATCCTGTGGAAAATCCCAGAAAAGCAATAAGCACTTGGAGTACTTCTCTCTATCTAGATATTTCCAGCATGCTCACAGTCGTGGTTTCTGTATGCCTTCACATCCTTTTGTCCACTCCAGTGATTTTCAGGGTCGCTGCCATGAGCAGTACTGAGATATCCAGGCTTTCCCCCTGCCGAGCGAAGGCTGGATACCTGCAGGTAACACCCTGGTGCCCGCTTTCCGTCTGCAAGACGAACAGTCGAGCTACTGTTTGTGCAAGAACATGCCTCTCCATGAAAAAAATGGCTGACTTGTCCCTTGTCCCAGGTAGCAATTCCTGCTCTAGCGTGTGGATGATAAAATGGTGCTGCCTGTGTTCAGGTTGGCCTCTCGACAGAGAGGTGCCTGTTTTAGAAATGCCTTGTGCTGTCACTGCTACGCTGCTGCCAATCTAATTACTTTTTCTTTTGTCTGTCTCTTTCCTTTCCCCATCTTCTTTGTTTTTGTGTTGTACGTCTCTGCATCCTGTAGTACAAATCTGTGTTTAGGTCCTACTCCCAGGACTTTGTGCCTCACAATCAAGTCTCCATACCTCCTTTCCTCTCTTCTACCTCCTCCTCCTGTTCCACCCCACCTTTCCCGCCCGTCCATCCATCTCAGAGCTCTGACCTAGCGGTGCCCGCCACAGCCAGCCAGTCACCCAGCACTGTGGATGTGCCAAACTCCTCTTCTCAGGAGAGCAGCTTTAACGGGAATGCTCCTGTCTGCCTTCCTTCTGAAACCTCTTTCACTGATTCTCTTCAGACGCCTTCGGTGAGACTATCCAAAGAGATAATTCTCCTTAACGCAAGGCTGAGTTTATTTGTTTGTTGAAAGCAAATGTCTCTTGTATTAATACATGCTAAATATGATCTAGTCCAGTTTCCAGATGTGTGTGTGTGAATTGCAGAGAGGTAATTTCATATAAAAATCATGGCTATTAAAAATGAATAATCTCAGCAGGTTTGAGAAAACGTTAGCACATATGTAGAAAACATAAAATGTCAGATGGTGCTGAAGGGGAGAGAGAAGTTGCTGTAGCTTCCTGCAATTGTAATACAAAGCTGAGGAAGGTAAAGAAGTGTTTTGTGAAGTTGGTGGTTTCCAAACGCAGACTCCCAACAGTGGTTCACATCCTGCAGTTGCTGCTGTGGCAGGATTTGGCGATTGCTGCCCTACTCCCCTCTAAGTCCCTGGTGAGCCCCAGGAGCAGTGGGTGCAGTCCAGCTCTGTCTCTCCTGTGCATAAACCTGTTGCTCTCTCCAGGCTCCCTCTTTCCAGTTACCAGCAGCCCGAGCTGTGTGCTTGCTGGCAGCCTGGGGTAGTGTAAAGCATCATGTGTTGGTGAAGTTAGACTAACGCTGCTCTCACACTACTAGTTTGCAGACCCAGATCAGTTTTGCAGATCACTGATCAGGTTTGTCCATCACAGCTGCTTTTCTAAACACCTCGTTTTCAAGGCAGTTCCTCTTTCGTTTGCTGCAAAGGCTGGAGTTGATGGGATTAGAGCTGTCAGCACAGTGCATGCTAGCGCTGCCTCATCAGGGACACTGGTTGCAGAGTAAATGATCAGGTTTTCACACTTTGGACCTGACCTTGCTGTTGCATCTTCCTTGCCTTGGGTCCTTGTTACAGCCCAGAAGCTCTCGAGTTCGGTTTAGCCTGGCTAGATGGCTCCAGTCTGTGCTTGTAGCATAGTTTAGGAGATAAATTTGATTCCCTCTGGGCTGCAGGGCTGATGTGCGTTTAGCAACAGGACCAGCGCGGTAGGATGGGCGCTTTGTCAGGCTCTGAATGCTCGGCTTGCATAACCTTGAAACCCACACGTGCATATTGCACCTTCGCAGTCTCTCACAGAGCCCATAGCAGCTCTTGCAAAGCTGCTGTCTTGCTGCAGCTCAGGGCCTTCAGGATAGTCCTCAAGAACCAGAAAGTAATTACCCCTGGGAAGGTACAGCCTCGGTGGCCAGTGGTGGCCGCTGAGCCAGAGGAAGGGCTCCCAGACACTGATAGCAGACACTGAACTCACTTCTCCTCCCAGCCCGTGGGCACGTTCTCTCAGTAACTAAGTGCTGATGGGGGGCACCATCACGTATTTCCTTTCATCCTGTCTCCCTTAGAGTGAAAACGCCAGTGAGGAGGCTGGTGAGGGTGAATACGTCAATCTGTATTCCTCTGGCCAGAGCAACGGGGAACTCCCTCGCTCTGAAGGAGTAAGTAACCCGCAGAGGGCCAGACACCGGGAAGGGGCTGCCTGGTGCATGCTGAGTTCACGCCGGGGCTGACGCGCTTGGCACCGGCCTCTTCTGCACACCGTGGAGCTCCTGTGTCCATCCTGCTGCCCCAGCTCCCTTGCTGGTGGTCCTCTGCTTGCCCACTCCTGGCTTGCAGGCTTGGGTGGCCTCCTGGTCCGGGTGGAGAGCAGGAAATGCTTTTGGGGTCGCGGTGAGCCCTGGCAGGAGGTAGGGATGGCTTTTCCTGCCACGTTGTTTTGTTTGCGCTTTGCTGTCTGTTTGGAGCTGCTTGCGTGAGGTTCCCTTCCAGAAAGATGCACTCTGTGACCAGTATCACCCTGGGACTGTGTCTATTCTTGTAACTGCTTTGGCTTCCCAGTTATAATACTGAAAGCCTTGTGCTCTAAATTCTTTTTTCCCTTCGCTGTTTGGATACAAAGTAAGTGATTGATTTAGCCTTGTAATTGCACGCACGCAGTTTCTTCCTTTACTCAAGGCTCGTATCTTGGATATTTCCTAGAGGAGACAGGGCGTTTTCCATCACAGGGAGGTACCATCTTCCTGTTGGATCATAGGAAACAGCAGCAGAGGTCTGTAGTGATCTTTTTGCCTGCCCTCATCTTGGAAGGCACATCTTCTACAGGATGTCTCCAAGACCTTTTTCCATACTGGTGTTAAATATGCCAAGAGATAGTGCTCCCATCACTTCCCTTCAGGAGACACATCTAGGCAGGCCCATCCTTTTAGGCAGCTGCAAGCTGGTTCCCAACTTTGAGGCAGAGGGCTTTAGATATAGTCTGGAAAAGTTCTGCAGACACCAAGAAACCTAAGCTCACCAGTGTGCTTCCCAGGCCGAATGGTTACTGTGTAGGTGGTTTAAGTCCTGTCTGTTCAGCAGGTTGAATTTCCAAGTTTCAGTCTGCATGATGTTAAATAATTCTGAACTCCAGCACTGTTAGATTAATATTCCCATTTGCCGTTCATGGCTATTTGTCTCCTTAAAAAATGGCTAATTTAAAATGCTGTATCTTTGCTTTGAGCTCTCTACCTGCTGTTCCATGCCGCCGGTTCAGATGGTTCTGCTTTTTTGCATTAGCCTCATTTCCACAGCTGTGAATTGTGAAGTGAAAAACTTCTGGTGGGAGAGAAGGGAGGTAGGAATGGCAGTGTGCATCTGCCCCCTAAGGCAGGCCGGTGTTTTGGGGGCTGTGATTAGGAGGGGAACTGAAACTGGAGAGCTTAGAGCTGGCTGTGTCAATTCTGATTAAAGCAGCAGACGATTGTATTTCAACAGTAAGGACTGGGGGAAAAAAAAAATGTCATGAGAGGGTTAAAATCCAAGACAACAGCTGACTTGTGTTGTAACTTTCAGCATCATTTCACAATGTTAAAAGCAAACAGTACTAATTACACTAGTCTCCAGAGATGGTCCCAAATTTCCTGTCTAATTAACTCCTGTGTTTTCCTGGCATTTGGCATTAACATGCATCAATCTTTAACAGCTCTGTAGGAATTTACAGTAAAGGGCCATTTAGAGGCAGGCAGACTGTAAACGCAAGGCTAGCTGTGGTGTGGGACCCCATGTAATAATGAAAAACTTCTCTCTCTTCGCAGGAATCTCCCTCTGTCAAAGACAGCCACTCCAAAGACTCCACTTCCAGCAGCAGTGCCATGGGGAAGGAAGGCAAAGATGGTGCTGAAAGGTGAGCCTGGCTCTCCTGGTCCTTCCTCCTGCTTCCCAGCCTCGAAGGGTAGAGACTCACCATCGTCTGGTTAGCCCTGCCCTCTACCAGACCTTGGAGCTGCCTGTTCTGCCCTCAACCTTCTCCATATTCTTTAAACTTTAAGCCCACCTTTTTTTTCAAAACTGGTGAGCGGTGGGATCCTGCTGAACAAGGAGGATCCTGACAAGATGATGTTACTTAACTCGGTGAGCCTGCAAGGGGTTAATGCAGCCCGTGGTAGCCATCCTAAGTCCATCTAATTGGCAGTCCTGTCATTGACACTGGCTGCTCTCTGCTGCTTCCAGGGAAACGTGCAAAAATAAAAGTCTGTATTGCTGTTGGGAAATAGTCTTCCAGAGGGGAATTTCTTCCTAACCCTGCTAGTTAAAGGCTGTCGAGGCCCCGAAGCAGGAGGCTTTATATCCCTTCTAATGCTCTTAGCTATCATTTGTCTATGTAAATGAAGAGGTTCGGGCTGTAACAGATGGGCTTCAGGAGGAGTGGAGTGAGTGCTTCCCTGCTGCTTGAGATTGCTCTTCAGTTGCATTTCTAAAGCAAAAATAGAGAACAGCATTGTTTTGTGTGTGACAGCCAACTTCCCTCCCCCATTTTCCTGCAGGTTTGAGGGTTTTAATCCCTGCAGTGAATGAGACAATGCAAGAGTGCTCTGCAAAGCTTACTATCTGCTGAAAGTACTGACTGGTGCACAGGATTTTGGCCTGTGCCTGGGGAAAGCTCTAAAGTCCATGCATACTTTTTTTTTCAGGAATACAGGCGCAGACAGCATGTGTCCAGGCACAAGAGTACCAGCCCTTGGGGGTAGGAATACTGGAGTTGTGGATGTACACCAAAAAAGTGGTCAGAGCTCTCTGCTCTATTTTCCTGCAAAAAGAGAGCCTGTCCTCTCCCCTTGGAGCAGCTCAGTGGGTCATGAGCTGACTAAGATATATATATGCATAGAGTATGCTCAGTCTCTGTACATTTGAGGAAGGGCTTAGATTTGTGTGCACTAAAAATTTGGTGGATTAAGGAGACATGGCAGTGTGTATTTACGCAGGGCGTGGTAAAATCCTGTCTGCCAGAAATGCAGCAGACAAGCATTCAGGTCCTAAAGGTTTATCGTTTCAAGAGATGTACAAAGCAACAGAATTAGAGCTAGACATTTGGGCTAGTTTGCAAAAGATTTACCTCCAGACTGTCTGTGTATGTACCATTGTTTAATGAAGGTTTGTACACTGAGAGCTCAGGTGGACCCAGCATCCCTTCCCCTGGATGGGCGATGGCACTGATGGGTATTTGCCTATTATTTTACAGGCAGCAGCAGTCACCAGATGCTTTGGAATCATCACAGTTGGAGGAAGAGGTAGATGAGCTATCCCTTATCGACCACAGTGAAATTATGGCAAGGTTAACACTGAAGCAGGAGGTGGGTGCATTCAGGGTTTGCTTTCATACTCTTTGGTTTATGCTGTATTGAAATCTGATTCTCTGTGCACAAACAAGGCATCAGCTTTTATTTGACAGGAAAAACTAGGTTGCAGCAGAAGTGGTATGCAGCTCCAGCCTTATGTGTGCAGGCTGTTGTGAAAGTCTGAGGTTCTGGTACAGGCAGGGAGCATCAGCGCTGAGCGAGGGTTTAACAAAGCGTGAGATATCTCTAAAAACCAGCTCATCTTTGTGCCCTTTTCCTAGTCTGCTCCTTCCCACCTCTTCAGAATGCTACAGTCTGAAATGAAACACCTGAGAGCCTGAGCACAGTAAGTCCAGGTGCAGGTTTATGGTATTGGCCTTTCAGTCTGAAGGCAGGTTTAGCACATTTCCCGAGGAGGACGTTACATTACTGATGTGGAAGAGCAGCCAAAGTAACTGTTTCTGTATCTGAGAAATGGCTTTCTTTCTAGCCTTGGGTGCACTCCCAGACAGCTTTGCTCACTATTGCTCTCAAACCAAGCTGTCTTTGACATGCAGCTTGAGGGAATATGCACACTGTTGAAGCTTTCAGGCTGTCAGGGGGCTGGTCTGAAAATCAGAGAGAATGTATCATTTACTGGCATTTTAGGAGTGTTCTTTGGTCAGCCGAGATGTGCAGGAGAGAGTGAGAAGCTATTACTCATTCCTTAAGTAGTATTTCATGAGTCTTGCCAGAGGGTCACCTGAAAAATTCACATCTTCGACACAGCTGCTCTACAGCTCTAATCCGTGGGGTTTTTTAGTGGTTTGCATGTTTAAATGACAAAGACGTGTCTAAGGGAAATCAGACATGACTCCACTCCCCTCAACAGGAATATTTCCTTTAAAAAACGATTAAAAATCAGTGATTTCTGGACATTTGGGACTGGCAGATCTGTGTCAACCCTTTACTTCTTTTTTTCTTTCTTTTCTTTGTGGTCTACATGTTTGAAACAGTATAGAAATGCCACTGCAAGACATTTCCTGCAGTGTGGGAACTTCTGGCTGAGTGATAGATCAGTTTTGCATATTTTTAGTTGTGAATTGCAGTATCTAGAAGAAAGAGTGGTAAGGCAGGGGTCAAGCAGTTAGCAGGGCTGGTTTCTGCTCCCATTTACTGGATCACTTCAGGTGACCTCCAGCCAAATAGTTCCAGATTAGGGAATTAATTTGCTAGGTTTTGATGTTCCAGGAACATGCAAGTTGAATGCATGACCTCTCACCCCATGGGCCCTGTGGTACGTGATCCTGCACTTTGAGACAGTTCACATGGTGCTACTGCTCTGTTAATGGTCTTCTGGGAGCGTTTGGGAGTCTGGGACATTTCTGTTCCTCCTTCTGTGGACAGAAGGTTCAGCTTTCACTGAGCTTCACAGCCTGGCCTTAAGGAGTCAGAGACCCTGAGTGAGGATCAGCCCAGATCCTCATCTGGGACACCAAATGCTTTAATCAAATTTGAGGATTAGCCCAGCACTGAAGACCACGTCCCAGCTTGCGCTGTGAGCAGTGCCAGGAACATTGTGTGCTCTGCCAGTTACTGCTGAGCTTGAACTCCAGAGATGGTAAACCAGGCCGAAGGGAGCTCAGGCCGTGCTTAATGTGTTTCCGTTCTCATTGCAGGGAGACGATGGGCCAGATGTTCGTGGTGGATCTGGAGACATTTTGTTAGTGCATGCAACAGAGACTGACAGGAAAGGTACAGTGCACACACCAAAACGGAGCTGGGGAGCGCAGCCCTTTGCTGCTGGACTTCTGCGTCCTGTGGTGTGCGCAGTTGCCATGTGGCTGCGGGCAGCGGGACCGGGGTGGAGGGGGGGGATTGTGCTTATCTTTGACACAGAGGTAAGCTGGATAAGCGCCTGTTCATTCCGTTTAGCAGCAGGGATGGTATTAACTCCTCAGAGGCCTTGCCCAGACCTGGAAGGCGAGGCGCACCACTGGACTTGGTGACACTGCCGCCTTGGTGTCTCCATACCTGCCGAGGTGGGCCACTGCCTTCTGCGAGTGCAGGTGTGACCAGCCTGTTGTGGCATGGATCCTGTTTTCAGAGGTGTTCCTTGCCCTCTGAACTTGAGGGGCGTGGTGTCGTAGGAGTTGCTGGAGTGACCGTTGCATCGAAGTAGAAGAGGAGGGACATTGGTTTGGATCTAACGCAGTACCCGTGGGCATTGGGCAAGCTGTCCGGGAGCTGCTCTGCTCACACCCCTTGTTTTCAATTTCCTGATCCCACTCTGTACCACTTGCGTGCTGGTAGCCACCCAGAACAGTTCAGAGAGGAGTTCCACAGTACAAGAAAGGAAACGCGGTGGAGGAAAAGGGAGTTTAACAACCCGTAGGTCTAGATTTGTTCAATCTTTATCTTGCCAAACCCAGTCACACCCACACGAAGCAGCTCTTTTCCAAGACCTGTGGCGCAGACAACTTTTGTCATGTTTCCGGAGCCTGATTTTGAACCTGCCGAACACATTTGTGCTGATGGCCTTAACCAGAATTATCTCCTGGGATGCAAGGCAACATGCACTGACCCACTGAAACACTCGTATTTTAGAGATTTGATAGTCAAAGGGGAAATACCTTCCATGTGCATTTTTAAATGGCAGGGTTTTACTGTAGCATAAGGTGTTTGCAGTTACTACCAGCACCATTGAGCTAGCAAGAAAATCCTTCCCCTCACAGCTATATTTCCCTGTTTACACTGGGCAGCAAATCCAGGCAGACAGGTCCAAAGTTAGGAACACACTAGAGAGGAGGAGGCAAGACTAAATATGTATATTTTAAAAAAAATATAGTCTAAATGAGATGGTGGAAATACCCCTTATAAAAATGCTGAAACTGGAATGAGAAACTGTGATTTATTCCTGCTGTTCTCCAGAACAAGCACGGCATTGGAAGAACTTCCCTGCTGTTCCTGTTGACAGACAGCTAGTTGGTAAAGGGATGGGTGCTAGACCTCCAGCTCCTGAATGGGGAGCTCTGAGGGTGCCACAAGCAGTGAGGCGAGAGCCGTGGAGAACCTCTCAAGACTAGGAAAAAACTAGAGCAGGATTTTCAATGCACAGCAGTGGGGACGGGGAGAGCGGCTGGGTGGAGGGAGCTCTGTGCGGCACGTTTCTCAGAATAGTCACAGAGCTGAGCCTCACAGGCTCTGCCAAGCCGCTGAATGGAGCATGGAGGAATTTGTGCTATGCTAACCCAATGTTTGGGTGACTGAGAGGGTTAATGAATTAAGCTTACAATGAGAAGAATTCAGGGCTTGTAAATCAATCAGCCGAACAGCACAGAGGGGTATAGTTAAGAGGCTTTCCTTTAAAGATGAATTTCTTGGCAGCTTCAAGTGCCAGAGCAGACCAGCTGTATTACCTCACGTTGCCTTTTGGGCAGATGGGAACCCAGAATAAATGTAACTCCACGCCCTGTTGCATGATGCTTCTTGTCCATTTGAGTTTTCTAAAAGAGCTAAATGAAATAAGGGATAAAGAGAGACTTGCGGTCTTTAGGAATAAAATCCATGGTCAGTTAAGTGCTCACAGCCACATGTGCTTACCCTGAGTGCGGGATTAGAGCTGGACGAGGCCTAGGACTCACCCCTGACATGACCACCCAGCCTCCAGCTTTAGAGCTTATGTCTGATTGTCTTTAACCAGAAGGCAGCAGCACTCTCTGATTTAAGAGCAGGGGGAGGCAGCGCCTCTGTCAGGCTCCTGCCAAGAGCAGCGCGCAGGTGGAGAGGCACAGCTGACACACCGTGCCCTGCTTTCCGCCCCTCCACGCGCAGCGGATGGATGCTGCAGCACACGGGTGTGGGGTGATCCCTGTCCTGGCTGAAGTGAGCTTTATGTGCACAGCCTCGCCTGGGCAGAAGCCTTTTCTCCCCATCTGGGCTACCAAGGCTCTGCCAGCAGTTGCAGCGAGCCGGGCAGGAACAGTGTGCCCTCCCAGTGCACACACAGCCTGCAGTGCTGTGTGGTTTTATACCAGGGCTAGCAAGTTTCCATTTTGAAACTGTCCACAGTGACCAACCCTTGCCTGGGACTGCACGTGTACTGCAGTCTTAACCTGAAATCTTCTTTCCCATTTGCAGTTCCTGCTTTTTCAAACTCCCTCCCTTGTGCCCAGGCTGATGGCCAAAGCCTTTGCAGTTCTGGGGCCTGTAGCACCCACTGCTGCACATTAATAAACAAAAGCTGTCTGCGTTCACCGCATCAGTCTGCGTTGTGGCAGCGTCATGGTCATGGTAGCGTCAGTTTTTGCAATGCAGTTTATTCTTTTGGTTGAAAATAATCTTCTATTTACACTGTCATGGGGCAGATTCCCTGGAACACAGCAAGGGCATAGGGTCTGCGGCACCATATCATCGTGTCAAAACACGTGTGTCCCTGATCAGGAGGGAAGAGTGACCATGTCTTTCTGCAGGGCTCTGTGCTGCCTAAGCAGTAAAGACAGAGAACCTCTCATGATCAGTTCTTCTCTTTAAAGTATCCCCGAAGTCTTAACCCCATTTTTTCCTGACCCCATTATTGAAAGTTCCTGTCCCCCAAACAAGTGTTTTTTACTAACCCCTTTAGTGGTCGCCTAAGTGAAACGGCAAGCCTGAGTGATGCAAATGGGAGTCAGGCTGGTGGGGACAGGGCAGTTTCACTGTTGCTCTTGTGCCGTAGGGTCCATCTGCTGGTAAGAAGCAACAGCACAGCATTTCTGTAAAGTCCATTCGAGTCAAAATGTGTCCGTGTCTTCTTCCTCTTAGACTGGATTCAGCCTTGCAAGAAGCTTCTTTTTTCTGAAAGCAGGATTTCTTGTCTTTCTCTGTAGATCTGGTGCTGTACTGTGAAGCCTTTCTGACTACATACAGGACATTTATTACCCCTGAAGAGCTCATCAAGAAGCTGCAGTACAGATATCCTTTTGCATGAGTGGCAGTTCACCCCCACCAGGAATCGGAGCCGAGCGGTCACCATGGTGTTGGTGGCAAGTTGCTTGGTCAAAAGCCTGCTGACAAGGCGGTCAGTAATATGCGTGCCCTGGAGGTGTCCCAGGCAGGACTTCTTTCATCTCTGAGTGCTGCAGATGGGAAATGCTGCTGGGCAGATCCAGGCAGGGTGGAGTACTGGACCTGAGAGTAGTCTCCTGAGGGCCCTGGCAGGGGAGAAGCAGTTCACATTTTCTCTACATGACTGGGGAATTGGTCATTTGTTTGGGACATCTCATTTGTAGAATGGGGATCGGGCTGCCTGGTGTAGTTTTAATACTAGAGATGACTAAACCATCAAGACCTATTCTCTCTTATTACAAGAAACACAGCACAGCAGATAATGTCCTCTTGGCCTCCCAGTTCTGAACTGAGCTTGTAACCACTAACGGGGTGAGGGCCCCTTACGTGGCCGGGTGAGCATTAGCATTCCTGGCAGAGTGCGGAGAAGGCTTCTCATTGAGTGCCCTGCCTGCAGTTCCTTCCCTTTGGCTCTGTTCCTGTGGCTCCCTTCACCATCAGCTGAGCGGGTCAGGGTTGGTTCAGGCAGTGCAAAGGCCCCGTGGGCTTTGGTCCTGAACACACGCACATCAGAGGGAGCCTGACGTCACCCTGTCCTGTCGCAGCTCATCACTGCCATCTGCAGCAGAGCTGCTGCTCCCCTGCTCCTGCTGGGATCAGCACGGCCAAGGACACGGCAAATCTCACTGCAGAGCAGCTCTCGGTGAAAATACTGGCTGGGGCATTCCTCCAGGCCCTTGTCAATACTTGACTTACTGATAACCTTCTTCTCTTTCCATTTGTCTGCCTGGCAGAAGCTTTTTCTCCCCTGCCAATGCAGCAAATTGGGCAGTGAGGAAGGTAGAGGTGACACCTGAGATCTGTTGAGACCAGATGTCACAGAGCAGTGGGGGAGATGACAGCAGAGGAGTGCTGCTCGTTAAATCCCACCTTAGAACAGTTTCAGGGTACACCTGCTCTTCTAGCACCGATTCTGCGAGGTGCATGTACCTCCTCACACCCCTGCTACCTGCAGCTGGTGGCAGCCTAATACCATCTTAGTTAGAGCCATGTCGGTGTCCCTTATCTCCTGGAAATCGAACACCACTTTCAGCCAAGGCAGAATAGTATGCTATCCAATTAATACTATGCTACTCATCAAGGCAACTGTTAGTTGCACTGATGCTGGTTCAACTACATTAAATTGATTCTTTAATTTGCAACCAACATATGAGAAGTTTTGCCACTTCCCAGACACGTTTAAGAAGCGAGTCAGTAAGAACACCTTCTTCGTGCTGGTGAGAGTGGTGGACGAGCTGTGGTGAGTTGCATTCTTTGTTCTGGGGTGGGAGGTGTGGGGTCAGTAACAATACAAAAGGTTGTGAAGATGTGCTTTTTAAACCCCATCTGCAATGACAGATGGAATCCCCTGCCCTGAGCAGTGAAACACCTAGAGTGCTGAACCCTCTTGTAGGTTCTCTGTGTGTCCTCACTGAGTCAGTTATTTTAAAATAACCAGTAAAAGGGGAATCTCTGGGAAAGGAAGAGCTGGGAAGAGGAATTTCAGTCACTCAGTTCTGCATGTGGGCAAGAGTGACAAGCCTCGGTACAGATACAGACTCTGTAGCTCAGAGTCATAGCTCTGACGCCTTCCCTGGGTTTTCCATCTTTGTCTTAGCTTAGTGGAGTTGACAGAGGAAATTCTCAAGCTGCTGATGGACCTGGTCTTCCGGCTGGTCTGCAACGGGGAGCTAAGCCTTGCCAGAGTGTTACGCAAGAATATCCTTGATAAAGTGGATCAGAAGAAAATGCTGAGCTACGCCAATTCCATCAAACCGCTTGCAGCCCGTGGGGTGGCAGCCAGGTGAGGAAAGATGCACATAACCATATCTTGGTCCTTTGAGAGACAGGGCATCCCTTTCTTTAGGAGACAAGAATTTTCTTAGTCCAAAACATAAGAAAGGAAAGACAACAGGTCACAAGCCTTTGTATCATCCTTGTTTCCTCCAGGCCAGGGACCCTGCATGATTTCCACAGTCATGAAATAGCCGAGCAGCTGACCCTGCTAGATGCTGAACTCTTCTATAAAATTGAGGTACAGATGCGAGGAGGGGGTGAGGGTGGTGGGAGGGATTTGAACACATACCCTCTGCAATCTCTGGTATCCCCTGCCAGCTCTCCAAGCTCACCCCTTGGGTTGTAGGAGACAGCTGAACCTGTGTCACCAAACGGCTGTGACCACAGGCTGTGACTGGGAGTCTTGAAGCAGAAATTCCATTTTAACGTGTGGTATTTTCCCGCCCCTCTCCTCTTCTTTGACAGATCCCAGAAGTTTTGCTTTGGGCAAAGGAACAAAATGAAGAGAAAAGTCCCAACCTGACACAGTTCACAGAGCACTTTAATAACATGTCCTACTGGTAAGGAGCTCAGAACAACCGTGGCACTGAACCGTGCTTAACCTCCAGTGCCCTACACATAGTCAAAAGTTTCCTTGCAGGGTTGGGTTCCCTTGTTACAAGTGGGATAACATGTATTTTTGGCCAGGAAGTGCATGCAGGGCACTCATCAAAGACCCCAGAGCACACAAGAAAGAAAATCAGGAGGGTTGTTACAGCGCCCTCCACCCGCAGGAGTTCTTGTTAGTACCATTGTGCCCTTCAAACAGACATTCCCCTTGCAAATAAATGCACTCTGTGAAGGGTGATAGTGGTCATCCTTGAAGTTATTCTGTCTTTGTTATGAATTAGAGTGCTCCATTTAAGATGGAGATAAAATGAACTTTCCAGTATTGTTGGCCCATCCTTACTGGGTTTTTAAATGAAACAAGAAGAAATCTGAGATCTGCTGGTTTTTTCTGTCTGTTCTTCCAGGGTCCGTTCAATAATTATGCTACAAGAGAAGGCTCAAGACCGAGAGAGGCTGCTCCTTAAATTTATAAAGATTATGAAGGTACCAGCTTGGTTCTTGCTGTGAATTACACACGCTGCTCCTTAAAGGAGCGGGGGAGTGGGACCTTCTGGTTGGCAGAGCTGTTTGATGCTAGAAGGCTTTTCAGATCTCTAGAGTAATGAATATTCTCCCTCTTCACAGCACTTACGAAAGCTGAATAATTTTAATTCCTATTTGGCCATTCTTTCTGCACTGGACTCTGCACCCATCCGAAGGCTGGAGTGGCAGAAGCAAACCTCGGAGGTGAGCAGCAGTGAGGGCTCTCATCTTCAGGGGAGGAAGATAACTCTGGTTACAGAGTGAAACTGCTGGGGGGGGTTAACAGCTCCGCAAGGTCCCAGGTGGAGGGGTGGTGGATAACTGCTCCCCAGGGGCTCTAATGCCACTGGGCCCTGGAAGCCTGCAGCATTGCTGGGCATTCTGACAGCTGTGGGAGTGCCAGGGCTGCACAGGTGAGAACAGCCGCCTCCTCCTCCTCCTCCTCCTCCTCCCTGCAGATTGAAGGTGAGGCTGGAGGCAGTGAGGCTGTGAGTATACGCACTCGGGGTCAGGCTGCGCAGATCAGTTGGAAGGGTCTGCAGGGTGGCGTTAACTGCCTGGCCTGCGTGGCTGTCGGGGGGGAGGTTACAAAGAAAAGGGGGGTTCAGCAGCGGTGTCAGCGTGGGCTTTGTGTTCTGCCAGGGCCTGGCTGAGTACTGTACGCTGATTGACAGCTCCTCCTCCTTCCGCGCCTACCGAGCAGCTCTGGCTGATGTGGAGCCTCCCTGCATACCTTACCTGTGAGTTGGTAGCTTCTTTCCTCTGCCGTTACTTCAGCACGTGCAGATGGTTCTTTCAAGGATTTCTCAGCAGGTTCTGCTCAGCTCAGCACTTGCCTTTTGCCCCACATCTAGAACAAGAGGGTGATGTGCCACACCAACCCCTGAGTCCTCTCCTGTAGCTTAGGAGGGAGGGTGGCAGTTGTAAAGAAAGCTTTTGTGAATTGACTATGGCAAAGGAAAGATCAAGTGTCTGGATCTTTAGATGATGCTTTTTCTTTAGTTGACTATTTTTCTTTGGGGACTGTGTGCAGAAGAACAGGTTTTTCCATGAGGTGCAGTGGATCTCACAGCTTCAAGCTGCTGCTTGCTCCTCTGCTGCAGCTCTGGTTCTGCTGACAGCGAGAGCTGGTAAACGAGGAGTCTGCTTGTCACCCTGCTTCTAGATGAAAGGTTGAAGCCATTACCCTTCTCCATAAGAGCCCTCTGATCTGAGACCAGATTTGCTCTGGGTTTACACCAGTAAACTTCTCCTGTTCTTGCTCTCTTCCATGGGAAGAGCTCTGTAGGAAGAGGTTGCGTACGTACATGGCATCTCCTCTGTCAGGGGCCCATGTCAGGGCTATGCAGACATGGCTGAGCAGGGGAGGCAGAGGGAGGAAGGGAGCAGTGACTCCCTTGTTAGGGAAACCTCAACATGAGGGAAACCCTCTTGCATAAAACTGGAGGGAAGGTTTAACCCCTGGCAGGCACTTCCCATTGCGACCTTCTTCCAGCCTGGTCTTTCCACGGAGGGTGGAAGAGCACCCTCGGCATGCCTCGCCGCAGGGGTCCCTCAGCTCCGCGTGGTGGGTGCCCTGCACCTGCACCCCCTCACATCTGCTGCCGGGGGCACATTTCCCTCGAGTTTAAAGTTGCAGTGCTGATGGCAGTGGGAGGCCGTTAGATTGCCTGGAGCTGCCTTTTGCCTGGCTGTCCCGCCCCTGTGTGACTAACCTCTGCACTTGTTTGCCCACTCCCCGGCCTGCTGCGCCTTTCTCTCTTTCAGAGGCCTGATTCTGCAGGACCTGACCTTTGTTCATCTGGGAAACCCTGATTACATTGACAGCAAAGTGAACTTCTCCAAGCGCTGGCAGCAGTTTAACATCCTGGACAGCATGAGGTGCTTCCAACAAGTGTAAGTGCAGCCCCGGGGAGGGCAGGGCTGGCTTTGAGGCACCACGGTGGGGACTGGTGGGGGGGTTGTGGCTGGGGCACGGAGCCCCCATGGAAGGGGAAGGGAGTCTAAAGTCAGAGCATCATGATGGAGGTGTAAGGGGACCTGGGAAGGACAGGGCTCTGGGCACAGTCTCCTCTCCTCTCTAGGTTAGCCATGACTAAGAGTTGTGAAGACGTTTTTCCTATATTAGTTTTGAGATCCAGTGCAGTAAAGTTTTGCCGCTACTCTCTTTCCCACAACAGTTTTCCCGCCAGGTTTTGCTGTTGCTGGTTCCTGTGTTCTCTAGGACCTGCGGGGTTTTCTTCAATGCTGCCTTGCAGCAGAGGCAGCAGATCTAACCGCTGATTTCAATGTGATAGGGCCCTTTTTTTTTTTCCCCAATTCAGTGATGAGCACGATGGGTTTCCCCCTTTTTTTGGAGTCACACCAGTCAGGAATATTGGGCTCAGGTAATGCTGGATGTCCCTTAGAGCAGGGCAGAGGTGGCTCAAAGTTGGGAGAGGTCCCCAGGTAGCCCCTTGTTTAACTGCCGCCCTACTCTGTGGTTTTCCAGACATTACGACATCAAAAGAAACGACGACATAGTGTCATTCTTCAACGATTTCAGCGACCACCTGGCCGAGGAGGCCTTGTGGGAACTGTCCCTCAAAATCAAACCTCGGAACATAACGAGGCGGAAAACAGACCGAGAAGAGAAAACCTAGGAGGAGGGGTCGTGCGAGCGAGGAGAATTGCTCCGCAGACGCACCAAGGGCAGCTATGAGACTGGAGTTCAATGTTTGTACCTGTTACTGGATGACACTCCCTCCCAGCTGGCAGCCATCCCTGGGGGTGGGAATGTCGGGCTCTCGCCGCGGGCGAGAGGCGACCGCGCGCGTCGGCCGCGAAGGGCAGAGATCAGCCGGTGCTCGCTGCACTCGCCCTCCTTCTCCTCCCACCCCTCCGTGCCATGAATCAGCTTTAAACCCGGGGAGAGCTTTGTGGAAAGAGGGTCCCATCCAAACGTGTTCCCGGTTTGCTGGGCGATTGCACCCGGGAATACCCGGGCTTTTGTTTTCATCCGCAAAGGAGGGTCGGCAAGAGCTCAGCACCCACAGACTTGTCTCCGGAGTGGTGCTCAGCAGGCAGCAGCCGTGGAAGCCAAGGGTTTGAGTCTCCCCTGCAGTGCCGCCTCGACACGTGTTCACCCCTGGGAGATGAGGGTGGGAGAGTCTTGGGCTGCCTGCCGGAGGAGCTCTGCTTTCAGAGAGCTGCTTGTGTTTACAGGGGTCTTCGGTTTACCCCAGATTTCTGGCGCCTTCTTCACGGGAGAGGAAGGCACCGGTCGTAGATATGGAAGAGGCACTGAAAATGTGGGCAGGGACCCGCCATCTCCAGTCATCGTATCCCCTCCTCCTCTCAGATCTCGTTATTTAAGTAACAGTAATCCCTCCAAACCCTGGAAACATTGACTACCCGAGGTACTGTGGTTCACGTGCCCCGTGAGCCCGTATCTTTTAGTGATGGTACTAGCTTTTGCACAGTAAATGCTGTAGTATACAAGACTGTAAATATTAGTATTTAGAATCCATTGGGGATTTTTTTGATGCATGTCTGAATACCAGTGGGTTTCTAGGAAAAAAAAAAAAGTGCAAAACCGTATGTATAAAACTCACAACCAGTGACAGTGTCGTTCCAAGTGCTGAAAGACAGGAGGCTCGGGGCGGGCGCAGGAGCCGGGCGAAGGAGCCAGCGGGTCCGTTTCTGGGGTTGGAAATGGGATCTGGGAAGGAGCCCTGTGCCCCGCCGAGCCGCCCCGTCCCCTCCACCCTGCTCCTCTCTCCTCTCACTGTTGCCAAATGTTTTTTTCAGGGGGTCCCCACCTGGCCAACCCTTGGTGCTGTGCTTTGTGCGCTTCAGCAGGAGCCCCAGCAGGTCCCTGTCCCCAGCCCCCCATGGCAGGGGCAGGTGTGGAAGAGCGAGATCATTTCCCACCCAGCAGCGACAACCCCAGTCCGTTCGGTGTGCCTTATTCAGCCCCTCTGTCCCCTCTCTGTGTCCCCCCCCCGGGGTGTCCTCCCCACTGCAGCCCTGGCCAGGCCATTTCGCATCCCTCCTCTCTCCTCATCCGATGGTTTACAGTGTGGATCGTGGTTTGAGCCCACGCTGTGGGGTTTAGCAGCCGTGCGAGGCCTTTCTCGGCACCGTGTTGCGTGGTCACAGGTTTTTACAGAGTTCTGTCTAACCAAACCCGGCGGTTTTAGGGCAGCGGCTCGCAAGGAATACAGACAGGGTGTTTGGCAGAGCATCCTTAACTTATTTCTCAATAGCAGCTCCGTGTTTGCTAAAGCCTCTCTGTTTATTCTGGGTGAATCAGAGTTGCAAGCACTTCCTTCTCCAGATTGCAAAGTCTCAGCCGGCAACTCCGCCTGACGGGCGGCAGGAGGGAGCCGCAGCAGCGCTGCCCCATTCACAGGATTGTGCCCAGCTTCATTATTTCCCTGAAGGTTTAGACACAGGACTTCTGCAGTGGCCAAATGCTGAAGTGCAGAGAGACGCGCAGCCGAGCCAGAACCCTTCCAAAACGCTTCATTTTGATGGCACTAAGGGCATTGGAGCCATGTGTCGTGTCCGGCCGAGGCTTTGCCATCCCCAGCCTTCCACGCAGGAAGCAAGGCTTGCGTATTCCTTTGTAAATAAGGTTTTAAAACAAACCCTGACATGATGAGACTGTGAAAAGGCAATTCCCCCCGGTGGCTGGTGAGGGCTTCCCCCGGCGGCTCCCAGCACCTCCCTCGCCCGCTGTGCCGTGGCCTGGGCTGTCTCTAGGAGTGGTGTGTGTGGTGGTAGCACTAAAGCCGCAGCCCCTCGCCCCGCTCTGCCTGGGGGGAGGCCGTGGGGGGGGGGGC